ATAACTAAATATAATTTTAAAATTATACTTTATAAAAAATTAGAAAATAATTATATAAATATTTTTAACTATAGGGAAAACTACTTTAAACTAATACTAAAACTTACCTTACTAATATTTAAAAAAATAATAAAAAAACACTATAAATTAATATTATTTAATATACTTTTTACTATTAAAAAAAATAACTTTATTTTTAATAAAATTAAAAATACTATTATAAACTAAATACTAAAATAATTCCCTAATAATATAACCCTTAAGGAAGGATTACTATATTAAAATTAAAAAATCTAAGTATTAAAAAAACTATAAAAAAAAATAATTAAATTAATCTATAAACATCCACTATATAAATATAAAAAAATTAAAAAAATAATATAATAAATATAATAATACTATATATTTTAAAAAATAAAAAATATTATTAAAAAAATAATTAACTATTATATAATATATATTAAAATAAAAGTAAATTAATATTTACTTTATAGTAAACTTTAACTACTATTAATATTATTATAATTATAAAATTTAATTTCTTTTAATTATATTATTAAATTATTAATATTAAAAAAACTCATAATAAAAGTTAAATTTAAAAATATTTTTATAATAATTAATTAATTAATAAAAATAACGCTTTTTATTCTTTATATTAAAAAAAACACTACTAAAGAATTAATATATATATTATAAAAGTATATTACAGTAAACTATAAACTACTAAAAGAAATTATTTTAAAAAAAAATCTACATTTATATTTAAATATTAATAAAGCCTAGCAGTAAAAATAAAAATAAACTATAAAACTAATATAATTTACTACCCTTAAATAAATAAATAAATAAAAAAAATTAACTAAATTATTAAAATATATTTATAATATTATATTAATTTTAAATAAAATAATTAAGTAAAATAATTATTAATAATACAGTTTTTTTATAATAATATACTTTTAAAAGCTATAAAATATTTACTATTTTATATAAACTATAAATTTAAACCTAATGTTTATAAACTATTAAAGAAAAAAAAAATATAAAATTAATAATTATTTAAGTAAATAACCTAAAAAAACTTTATAATAAATTATAAATTTAGCTTAAATTTATTAAAAAATAAATAACTAAATATATTAATAAATTAAAGTTTAAAGGACTAAACCTTTAAAAAGGGAATATAATTTACTTTTATTAATATACCTATAGTAAAAAAAAAACTAATATTAAGATAAATTAGCTAAATAATAAATTTAACTTTAAAAAGCTTAAACTATATAAAATTTTAAAAAAAATTAAAAAAAATAATTATAAATTAAACCTCCTTAAATAATAAAGTAAATATAAAAAGTTAATATATTTAATATTTTATATTTTATTATTAAAAAAAGTATTAATAAATAAAAAAATAAATAAAATTATAAAAAATAAAATTATTATTAAAAGTAAAAAACTTAAATATAAAGTTAAAAAACTTATTATAATAAAATTTAATAAAAAAACTTAATAATTTAAATATTTAATAAAATAAAAAAGCTATAATAAAGTAAAAAACTTATAAAAGCTTATTAAATACCTTAAGTATTTAAAAACCCTTTTTAATAACTTTTACTAAAAGTTAAATTTAATAAAAAAAGATTAAAGGTATTTTAATTAACAGTATTAATTATAAAACCTAAAATTATAGGATTAGCGGGATTAAATAATAATATTACAGTTTAATAAATAGCCTCTGCTTTTTACACTTTACACTTTTTATACTTAACTTATTCTAGCTTTTTTAAATTATTAATACTATAAATAATTATTTATTTTATTTTTTTAAATTATTTATATTTATAAATATAAAAATACTTTACTTAAGCATTAGCTTTTAGCTATATTTCCTTTACTTTTTTTAACTTTTTATTTAATTTTAAATAATAAAATATAATTTTATATATTTATTATAAAGTAAAATTAAATATTTTATAATATAATTTTTAATTTTATATATAAAAAAGATATTAATAAAAATCTTTTTTAAAAATAATATATTTATAACTTTACTTTTTATAGTAAATATATAATTTTATAATAAAAATAGAATTTTTTAATATAATATTAATAAAACTTTTATATTTTTTTTTTATTTAAAAATACTATTATTATTATACTTTTACTTATAATTAGCTATAATAAAAAAATTAAAAATTAAAAAATAAAAAAAAAAAAATTAAATAATATTTATTAAAAAATAAAAGTAAATATTTATATATTATTTTAATTAGGTTTTAAAGATAAAACTAATGGAAGGGGAAAATTATATTATAACCTAGCTTTTATAGTTATAATAATAAGCTTATAGGGTAAGCGGAAATAGATTAACTATAAACTAACTAGCTAATTAATACTATTACTCTTTAAATTTAAGAAAATTAAGAAAACTAGCTTTCTAAAGTAATCTAAGGAAAGCTAAAAAAACCAGCTTTTTATTATAATCTAAAATATATAACTAAATATATAAGTTTATATTTATATTACTTATTTAAATAACTTAAATAGCCAGTTGTAAATAATAACATTTAGATTAAATTTACTTAATACTCTTTATTAATTAGTAATATTATTATTTATATTACCTAAACGTCCAGCCTAGCCTATCCGCCAACATAAACCAGAATCTAAGTTTATCCCTTAGAAATCCTAACCTATACTAACCTATAGGTTCACGGTTCGTCATATTATAATAGTTTTATATATTTATATAAAGCTTTTACTGTTAGCCTGTATGTGGATGTATGATAGTTGATTCAATTATTCGGAAGGTAGTAACTTCCATACAAAGCAACAAACTCATACTCTCAAGCGGCAACCCTACTCCTGGAAACTGGCAAAGTTTTAGGGATCCACAGCCAAACGATAGCTGCTGGGCTCGAGAAATTGCGTCAAAGGATCTGCGAGCTATTGTGGGAGCTTTGAAATATTCTCCCCGCGTGGTGGCTGCTAACATCTAGATTTTCGCATTTCGCCTACAAAGTATTGCCATTGATTTTAGCTATTGGGTATTTGGAAAGGAGCTATAACTATTGTAAGTATTAAAGAAAATTCTATAGGGGAGCTTGTGCTATGGATACGTGGGAATATATCATATACTTATTATATAGTGTCTGGCTACTAGGTTTCACTACGTATGAAGTAATTAACCCCACCTGATTCTGCTTCATATTTAGAAGTGGACAAACAACCTGAGTATAACACCTCTTTTCACTATTTGACGCAATAGCGCTTTCAACGTACGAAGTTAAACTGACATACCAGAGATTTATGGAGATATTTATCCCTTCGACTTTGGTAGCGTTATATCCGCCTTTACTATTATAGCTACGTAGTATTATTAATCAGCCGGGTATTTTATCCATAAAACTTATTTATGTAAACTATGTAGAGAGGCTTCGAAAGAGCCAGAGGCAACTTTGGCCCCATCAAGCCATTAATAGAATCGAGGGTTTCATCAAAATCACATACTGGCGGCTTGTATCCCTTATCTACATTATGTAAGTAGCCGTTAAACAGCTGTCATACCGCCAATTCCAGAAAAATCGGTATCAAAACAGCACCATGGGTAGCAATATGACAACTACCAGGTACTCCATCGTTAACATTGCTGAGTTCTTTGTAGTGATATAATCATCTGGCGACGATAGATATAAAGCAATCAATCACCGTCCATTTGGTCACAAAGTTACTATCTCTATAGTCGTCGTAGGCATTGATCGTACTCTTAAATAAACTACCTGATACTCAATGCTAACCACCCCGTAAATCCGAATTTCAATACTTTGGACCATAACACAACATTGATGTGTAAGTTTGGATAAATGACAGTTCTATTCGGAATACTGATTCATAGTAGCTATTGAAATACAATATGGGCCAAAGTTGGCTCAGGATATCCTGCACAAGTGGTTCATACACACCGGGTGCGCACATAGATACGTAAAGGTGTTAGAGAAGAAGAGATTATTTTGGATAAAGAAAATGCATATTTCAAATATCAATGGTGCTCCTGGTTCCTTGTATATAGATACTGACTGCCGATCCAATCACCTTTAGCAATGGTGCGCCCTTTGCGTCCAAAATCATGTCATTTATACTTGTGCTAGACCTTTGGCAGATTGAAAGGCTTTATTATTATCTAATCTCAGGCTGTAATTCGTCTTAGATAGACTAATTCATACCAAATAATTTTTGTCCTGCTGTCATCCTAATTATTCCTACGCCCGCATGGAGACAAGCAATGCGAACAACCAGACTCGAGATATAAATGTAACAACTTCGCCTATGCACAAGAGTTACTCGGGGAATGCTACTAATACAAAATCGCTATGTCTTTTCAGCTTCGCATATGGCATCTTGAGTAACCTTTTAAGAATTGGAAACTTTAGTGTGGCGTACTTGGTATATGATTGGCGTCGTCTATCAAACATATGGCTGCTTAGCGCTTTCAATACCCTTCGTAAGAAAAGCCCATTTCTAGAGCTTACTACTAATAATTTACTTTTAGTTAGTGCTGACTCAGTTGCTCTGGGATGCTGTGTGCGAAAGTATTAAAGTGTCGTACTGCCCCCAATTGAAGAAAAGGCTGCAGCTCAGATCGTATTTCATATGCTAATCTATACATTCTACAATCTGTATAAAACCTCTCAGATTGAGTATGGATCATCAAGACCAAATTGAACTATTTATTGATGAAGCAATCAACCGACAAGCAGGAAGTGATGGGCATTCATTATGGGACTGCCTCGCAGTATGTAAATATCATGCATATTGACCAGATCTTAAACTAAATGGAAAAAGCTTGTAGGGCTCACATCCGTTAACCAAGGACATCATTCAGCTTATCTTTATAAATCCGCTCTGAATAAAATGCCTACAGAGTCTCGTCCACTGTTATGGCGCCGATATAACGATGCTATCACAGAGATGCTGATTATTGTTGGGATGCCAAAGACACTGAACGCTCTATATCCAATGATCCCATTAGTCAACAAGACAGATATAGCGCTTATTAAAACATCAGACTGGGAAGTCGACAATTCAGCCAGAGGTTGGGAGTATGCGAAATTAACACATGGAGATGACTGGGCGGATTCGTTTAAGGCGGCCAGTGTATATGCTCCGGATATTGGTAAGTACACACGAGAGTCCCTCGCACTTACGCAAGACTGAAAATGGTTTAGCACATATCACGATGAATGTTTCGATGCGCAATTTGTTATCGGATTATTCGGTACATGATGGACTAGCGACTATGGCGTTGCTGGTCACAGTGCTGGTAGCGATGAACTGCCCACTCCAAGCCTCTTGGCACGCAAAAGGATACATCAGGCACGGGGGAAACAGAGAAACCCTGGATAAAATTGTCCAGTTTGCGAAGAGAATTGCAACTGTCACTGGAACTACTATTCCTGCTGACTTTCCGACTACGGAAACGATGCTGGAGGGACTATAATGACGCTTGGAAATAATGGAGCAGGGGAGAGTATAGTCTTTTAGATACGCGGCCTTCTCCATTTACAAACATCATTTTTATCGGTACTGCTGGAAGATGGTGACGAATTATCTGCAAGCCCATTATTAATGCCTCCAATGGCCCATGAAGCAGACTTAGCATGTCGTCATCACAGACCATTGATCTTCTAATCTTCCTAGGCGGTGCATTTGTCGAGAGATCTATCATTATAGCTTATTTGTCTTGCCTCATCCAACACAATATTAGTAAAGACCACCAGAAAAGCTAAAATCCGACATGGGTCCCGCTTAGCACATACAAACGCCGATAGTTCTTTTAACAACGGGCTTCTATATCGGAGTGCGTCGCAGAGATCCACAGCTGAATGCGACTCGGCGAGGTTTCGATCTCTTACTCTAGTCTTGGTACATTAAAATGACCGCGAGTACAAAAATATCTCCGGCTTAAAATCCGTGAGGTTAGCAAAGGTTTGCGGTCATAGCATTGGTGTGACAATTGATTTACGGCCGCTGCCCATGCCGTGACAGCAATTAGTCAAGGGTAAACTGGCATATATAATGAATGGTATAGCTCAATGGTTCAGATGAAAAGATATCCTCACATCTGGGTTGGGACTTTCCAAAATCACTGACCAACACTTGCAATTTACGACGTCAAGTAAAACCCGAGAAAATACTATCAAGTTAAAAATGTCCAAGGCACCAGTCCTCGTCACTGGAGCCTCCAGCTTTGTTGGTGCCCATGTTATCGAGCAATTCCTGTCTGAGGGTACTCCCGTTCGAGGAGTCGTTCGGTCTCAGTCTTCGGCGGATCGGGTTCTCAAAGTGAACTCTCAATATGCTTCACTTCTCAGTCTCGCCATTGTACCAGATATTACCAAGCCAGGTGCCTTTGATGAAGCCGTCAATGGCATCGATGGTGTAATTCACATCGCTTCACCATTCAAAGCAAACATTCGAGATAACGAAAAAGACGTTCTAATTCCGGCTATCGAGGGCACTACCCAAGTGCTAGAATCGACATACAAACATGCACCTCAGGTGAAGCGCATCGTCATCACTGCATCTTTCGCCGCTGTCGTCGATCTTTCCAAAGGTCTTCGGGATGGCTACATATATAATGAGAAAGACTTCAATCCTGCCACCTATGATGAGGCAAAATCTAAGGATGCTGACTTTGGCTTTGCATATTGCGCCTCCAAAGTGTTGGCAGAGAAGGCAGCCTGGAAGTTTGTGGAAGAAAAGAAGCCTAATTTTTCTGTCGCTGTTATTAACCCTCCCATTATCTATGGCCCTAATCGTCACTTTATTGACGATCTCAATAACCTCAATACTTCATCCGGCATGTTTTACTCTCTTATGAACGGATCCCGGTCCGAGGTACCTCCAACAGCCTTCTGGGCCATAGTAGACGTGCGCGATGTTGCCGTCGCCCACAAGGTGGCGTATTATAAGCCTGAAGCAGGGGGCCAGCGATATCTGACCACGTTGGGCCGCTTCAGCTTCCAGCAGATTTGCGACATCCTGCGAGAAGAGTTTCCCGACCTCCGTGACCGCGTCCCTGTCGGCAATCCCGGGGAGCTGATCACCGGCGTTTACGACGTGGACAATACCAAGGTCAAGAAAGAGCTCGGCATAGATTTCATTCCCCTGCGCCAGATGGTAATTGACACAGCCAAGAATTTTCTGGAGCTCGAAAAGACCCTTTTCACACCAGACATCTCGAATTGAGTAGCTGGTTCGGTTTAGTCCGACGAGCGGGGCGTTTTTACAAATGCGATTGAGAGCACACTTACATATATAGCTACCTGGGATCCATAAACCTTTTCCTAAAAGGGTATGTAGTTCGTATAATTGACTTGATTGGCTTTTACATTCAGGAATGACCACCAAACTTGTGATACATCTCCATCTTGGCTCCGCTGGTCCTGATAGTTGAGCATTGCCTCCAAAATGAATGGTTTAGTAGTGAGGCGGCGAGTAATGTTTCATGAGAGGATATAACAAGGCCAATGTTTGTCGTCCAAATAGACGCACCACACACTTAGCATCCTCTTCGTATCTCACAGAATGGCTCTTACTTATCGTGATGGCGTCGCCGTGGCGGAGCTGATTTGTTATTGCCCTTCCGCTATTATTGGAATCTATCTCACTCTGATCAATGAGTTTCATACTACTGGCTGGATCGACATATTTTTATTCTCGGCTATCCGTATTGTTGGCTCTGCCATTCAAGTGGAGGCAAAAAATCATCCTGGGACAACCAAATTGTACACCGTTGCATCCATAATGAACTCCATAGGCCTTGCGCCTCTCCAAGCAGGCTCATTAGGATTTCTCAATCGTCTTAGCGAGAATATTGGTGGCAAAACTCAGAGCCAGGCGCAAAAGTACATGTTTCGCATTATACAAATGCTCATCATCACTGGTCTCATTTTGGGCGTTGTAGGGGGCATCAAAGCTGGAAATCAGATCAAAAATACAGGCACATTTGCTATCGGAAGTATTGGCAAGATTGGCACTGGGTTCTTAATTGGTGCATATGCCGCAACTCTTGTTGTCGCTGCAAGTTTGCATAGAGTTGTCTCTTTTGCCGACCGCAAATATCGGCGCCTTTTTTGGGCAGTAATTGCTGCGGCATTTCCTCTTGCGGTCCGTCTCGTTTACGCAATCCTGGCGACTTTGACCGATGAGAAGAAATTCAATTTCATCACGGGTAATGTCACAGCCTGGCTGTGTCTTGCTGTCATACCCGAGTTTCTTGTCATTCTTATCTATATTATACTGGGCGTCTCTTTGGGCCGACAAAGGAAAACGTCAAAAGAAGGAGATTACGAGGTTACTAGTCTTGATGGACATCAGTTGAATATCGCAAGACAAAGTAAGAGACAGTCAAACACGTCGAGCCACAACCAAAACCCTGTAGTCAGGACTACGATCAAGATCTTTAATATGACGATTATTGGTCGTATAACCCGGAGCATTCGAGAACGGGGTAGGAACTAGATTAAATATTTCGTGTTGAAAACCCGGTCTCTAATAATAGGTAATAATAGAAAATTGTCACTTACCTAGCATAGACCATCATCTTCTTAGCGCATATATCTCCATTCGCAATGTGATTCCAATTTGTGCAACTCTTGTTAATATGCATGTACTTTTATTTGCCCGAACTTTTTTTGATTACCAAGCAATAAAAGGCTTATCATAATTGTGTCTAACTGTAAGTTACTAACGAACTGATAAGTGTAGTCCCCGCAAGGTCCAAGCCACGCTACATGCGCCATAATAGCCCTCTTAACTTCTGTCATCCATCGTGTTGGTCTAGGACTTTCAACATTTCTTAGTTGGCTTCATAGGAATCTGAGGCTGTACTTCAATCATCTGCTATATGGTTTATCGAGGGAAACCGTCACCAGCCTGCGCATTATGTAGGAGCAGGAAGATTAAGGTTAGTACACTAACTTCCCGTTCCTACGCTTAGAACTGAAACGTTTCTTCTTCAGTGCGATCTCCAAAGACCAAGATGTTCTCAATGCAAACGAGCGAGAGAGATGTGTACAGGGTATCGTAATATCACTGAAGTGATATTTCACGATGAAACCAACTCTACCAAATCCAAAGCTCTTACAAAACTACATCGCAATCAAGCAGAAGCCCATGAGAAAATTAGTAATGCAAGCAGCAATGCTACGCCTTTTTCTTTTATATCGTTCGATATTGACGAACATGCCAAATCTTACTTTGTTCATAACTATATCCTTATTCAAGAAGGCACTGCCGGATATCTATCCGGAATTGCTCGACTACTTGTTCAGCCAAGCCTCAGTCGCGCATTGGAGGCGGCTATGGTCGCAGTTGGTTCGGCTGGTATGGCATGCAAAGAATCATCACAACTTCTGGAACTAAGGGCAAGACAAAGTTACGGCATTGCTGTCTCATACATCAATGAAGCAATACAAAACATGGCCAAGATGAAGGAGACTGGGACACTTGCGGCCATCCTCGTACTTGGACTCTACGAAGTAGGTGATATGTTTCGTTCATCTCTTACATTAGTGGAGGATTTTATTCGATGTTGTGAGTGTGCTAATATTCCTAGATGATTATGTGCGATAGCCAACAGTCAATAAAAGCCTGGTACAACCACATGCTGGGTGCTTTGGCAGTGGCTCATACACGCGGCACACAGCAATTTAAAAACGGCGAAGTCGGGATGGAGCTATTCTTACATTTACGATCACAAATCGTTAGTCAAATCATGAAATACTGTCATTAAAATTCTAACAAAGATTTAGTTAATTTCCTGTCTCCAAAGAGGTGAAGGGATTCCAGACTCTATAAAGAGACTGACCCATGAAGCTCACAAATACGAATCATCTAGGTCGCTGGGACCCAATCAACTAGGTGGTTTAATCATGAAGTTGTGTTCCTTGCGCGCTTGGATCCGATCGAACCAAGGTATAGAGTGGCAAGCAATATCTGCTGAATGCATCAATATTGACAAAGATATCCGGAGCCTGTATCACTCGATTTTACGGTCTCAAGGTCCATACACCACTAAGTTTATTCAAGAGGCAACGGCCGAAGTCTACCTCAATAAGTATTACACTTACCGCAGCTTATGGAGCGCTTGGGTCTGGAACCTTTACCACGTGGCCAAAATTATTTTTCACGAAACTGTCATTGATCTACTTCAGCCGCAAATCGCCAATGTCAGCGCAATGCCGGAAGCATCGGCAACTGAGGTTATGGCTCAATACAATGAGTCTCTTTCTGAACTTTATGAAGCAAGCTCAGATGTATTCGCCTCAGTTCCGTTTTATCTGAATTTTCATAAAAAATATGAACCTTCTGCGAAGCCGGTCATTGGCTTGGTTCTTATGTGGAATCTGTACGCTGCAGCCCGTCTTAAGATACATGCGGGATTGGCAAGAGAGTGGTCCATTCGGCGACTGCAGTTCATAGGTCGTTCAATGGGCGTTAGGCAAGCTACAGCACTAGCAAATGTGTTGGAGAAGCGAGCTGCATGGGAGGCTATGGAGTCTCAGGAAATTTTGGAAAGCAGCAAAGCCAGAAGAATCGGCGGGGCAGAAACACACATGCAGAGATACCTAACAGACTTGCCTCCAGAGCCTTTAAATGAAAAGTCTCAGTATATGCTGTAACCTAAAGGCGTTATATCTTTCTTTTTTTTTTTTTTTAATTGATACATGTGGTGCAACACTTACAACTGTATTTAAATTAAAAAAGCAAAATTACTTGAATCTTATTAGGCACTTAGCTTTTGTCCCTTGAATATGTAGACTACAATTCTGTTCATTTCAGACACTGACTCTTTGCTAATAAGCGGGCTTGGCGGGCTAATCTCCGTCAAAAGGCTGAGCCGAAAAAGGCTAAGCCGATGTTTCGCCTTGGTTTAGCCAGCTACTCTGAGCACTTTCATTGGCCAACTAACATCACGTGATATTACTATGTAAAATGCGTCCTTGTTTACGATGAAACGTGATGGAGGTTCGCGATGTTGCGGCATTTCACTCGTCACACATCTTCATGATCGAGGCATGCTCTCCACGTTCACTGCCAACAACAAGCCCTTACATTAGGAGAGCGCATCACCTCGCTTTCTTTTTTTGTTTTTTGCATGTATTTACTCTCTATGTTGTGTACTATGCCATGGGAGTAACTACTGCATCGCTTTCTCGAGATGTGAATGACGGTGAAGAAGATGATTCGACACAGCCTTTTTCCTCGCCTGGGTTAGTGGAATAGTTCTCGCGCGATTCCATCAAGCTGTACGCTTGCCTGGATAGCCGTGCCGCTCTGCTCGATGGTATTCTCCAACAGAAAGTTGCCTGCGAAGCAAGACCGGGAAATTCCTATGCATACTTAACACGTTCGTTGCTTCAGACGAATCTGTTAAAATGGTAGGGGTCTTGTTGGCCGCGGATTGCGAGTAGCAGTTTATTACGATACGCGATGAACTTGCGTAAGGTTGTTGCAGCCATCTCGTGGCTTGCGACGCCTTGCTCCTCTCTTGTCTCCTTTTGCCAGTACTTTCTCTGCGACAATGTCATCTTGCGATGAGCGGCGGGACTTTGTTTAGCACCCTCCATTCTATGTACCTCAGCCAGCAACACCACTAATCAATGGCCAAGTGCATTACCTTTATTGTTTGATGTACTGACACATTATTCCTCCAGACGTCCATACACAACGGCACAATTCGATGAGAAGGACGAACTGAACAATAACGATGGCAACGGCATCAATAAAAGTGATGATGGCGAAAAATCAACTGAACCAGTTTCTAGTGATCAAAATGGAGAGGCTTTCGAAGTCGACATAACATATCGAAATAATATGATCACTTGGCAAGATGCCGATGGCCAAATGCAACATGTTGAGGGTCTATACCTTGATTTATACGTGGATACGGCGACCAATACAGCTATTTTCAAGCTATACGGCTATGTCTTGTTGAAAGGCAGTAAAGCCAAGAGCAGCAAACAGGCTATTTACTTGTTTATACATCCTGAAAACGTCCAAACCATTACTCTACAAACTGGGCATGCTGCTGCTCCGTTCTCAACGCTGATAAATTTCGGGCCCACTCACCACTCGCTCTGCTTTTCACTCACGGCACCACCCCATCTCGTTGTTCCTAAGAACCTTGTTCTGGAATCCCGACCGAAGACCAGAGCTCTACTAGATTCCATACAAGCCCTTGCCACGATGATGGCTTTTACTGTACATCTCAATCATCCCGATATGGCCACATCGACACAGAAAGATCTGGCATTGATCTCCTCAATTTTCTCACTGTCGCATAATGACAACCGTCCGTCTACCAATAACAGGCGTGCCAACCTCACTACATTATATGCTGGCCGAGGAGGCGAAATTGTCTATGCAAAAGATGGTATTGCGAATGCCGACACGTGTCTACCTCCATACAGTGAAACCACACCCAGTCGTAGCCACATTTCTAGTGAGCAACCCATATCCTATCGCCCTAAATTCCGAGCTCACCCTTAGCTATAGATAAGCGTAAGCGCGACATGTCTGACCCTGACACCGAACGCTCGTCCACAACCCATGATCATATCCTACTTATTCTCAAGGACATTTGTGTTCGCCTCGATGGTATAGAAAACCGCATTGGAAAACTCGAAGATAAAGTCTTGGAGGCATTAGATTCCAACCGCAGCCAATGCCGATATGGAGAAGAAGAGAGGCAGGAAATCTTAGAAGAAGTTGATAACCGAGTCGATGATTGCATCACAGATTTGAGGATCGAGTCTCATGATATAATTCAAGACCTCAAAGATGAGGTTGATGGGACATTGGAACGACTGGATAGTGAGACGAGCGAGAGGATGGAGCGGTTAGAAAGTGACGTCCAAGAAAATACAACAAAGCTCGTAGAGAAATGCTTAAGAACGAAGCTACTAAATGCCAGCTTGCGAATCGATGGCTCTGTATTCTTAGACCTCTAGATAATCCAGCAATAAAGCCATGCAGCGAATCGCGATAGTATTCGATACATAATGTCAAAGTTGCAGTTGTGATCGGCGGCGTTTGGTGGACCCGCGATGCTAGAGTAGCTAAGTATTTCCAGACTCGAGGTAAGATCACTATAACATCATGGACTAGTAAAAGCATCTATGTTAGGTAGTCGATAGCTGGACTTCAACGGCCAGCTTTTCCCCACGTCAATGTGACCGGCGGTTCAGTCAGTCACAGAACAGCGTACCCGATAAATTGAACAAACACTCTAGGTTATGTTCTTGATCTCCCATGGAGATGTGTTTAAATCATGGCTGTGACTAAGCGCAGCTGCTAAGAAGGCATTGGTCCATGTTTGACCATCAATGTTATCAAGTGTCGTGCAAGGGGGATTATTAGCGCCCAGGTGCCCATGACTGTTTCAAAGCTCTTCACTATGTAAATACCTCGCTTGGCTTGCTGAAGTTTCTACCAAGCGCTGCAATAATTGACTGCATCGATTGGGCCGGCGTTCCTTCACCACTGCTCTACCTTGACCAGTGGTTGTCACTGCAAGTCTGCAAAAAGTACATTGCAAAGTGTGTAGTAAATCAACACCAACATTAATTTTGGTCATATCGCCTATAGAAGCTGCTTTAATCTCACGTAGCATTGCTTTGGAACAACAGTTGCCATGTCAATGCCTTCGTAGGAGCTGAGTTCCGCTGGGCAAGGCTGAAATTCGAAATTCCAAACCAGCATCGCTAACACAATTCGCAGTTCCATGTATGCCAATTTCTTTCCAAAACAGCCACGAGGTCCACCCCCAAATGTTAGAAAAGGCCCAGAGTTAGCGTTATAGTTGGCTCCTTCAAATTCTGCATCGCGTTCGCCATCATATTGTACTCCTGTCATCCGTTGTAACCACCGTTCCGGTCGAAAGCAACTGATATCATCTGTATTCCATTCCCCAACGCGGTGCTTTGAGTCTTGTGATGTATCAGACCTGGCCGACTCAGGAATGTCAAATCCAGATTCTAACTGTCCTCCAGGCCCATGATTATAGATGATAATTCCAGTGCCTTTGGGAACTGAATGGCCTAGTATAGTGACATCGGTTAAAGCCTCGCGCAAGATGGTGGGGAGTGTTTTTGCAAGCCTCAAACACTCCTCCAAGAAGGCGTCAAGGAATGGTGCTGGTTTTTCGATGATCTCCATCACAGTTGGCTGGCGCTTTTCCGCATGAGCTTCTGCAAAGGCAGAATGTAATTGGTGACGAAGCTTAGCTTGGGAAGATTCATTATCGGTTAAAAACTTAGTGATCCATGACAGTGTTGTGGATGAAGTGTCATGTCCGGTAGCTACGTAACCAAATAACTGTATCATAATCAGTTAGCATTACCCATTTTAAGATTAAGTACCACTTCCAACTTGATAAAAGGTTCGGTACTACCTCATCTCTCATTCTGGGCGCGTTGATGTTTGGCTTTCTCCCTTCCTTTTTCGCGTAGCCAATCTCCCTTAGTAGCATCATGTCCATCGCGCATCTCATACGACTCTCCTGAGTATTTTCTGAAGTTAATCTCTCAACACTTTTGTTGATTTGATCTGTAATGAAGGCCTCTTTTTGAGCAAAATCTTTGCGCCATATTGTGTTCTTCAAAATCCAATGATGGAGGCGCGGGAATGGAGATTTGTATCCTACCACTACCGTTCCTGTTACCTTAATAAGAGCCATGAGGGATTCAGATAAAGGAATTTGGCTGTAGATGACTGGGTCATCTTTGGATTTTGACGATCTAATTATGGGCGGCTGAAGCTGTAAGAATTCGAATTGCTTGTGTGTTGCTGACTGCTCAAGTGGAATACCAAAGGCTGCCGCAAGAATAATATCGAGAGCTACACAGTGGAGGTCCTCGTATGCAGGGAAAGGACGTCCAGCAGCTTGAGTAGACTTATATGCCCACATGTCGACCAACACAGTGGCGATGTCGTAAATGTGTACAGCTGAAACCTATGTTTAATGTTAGTATGCACTGCTTACTGGTGGGGAAATGAAAAACTCGCTTCATTGAGGAATGTTGGTGTCATTAAATCCCTTACAAGCTCTTTATTCCCCTTAAATCGTGGATCTTGTGTCTGCATCGCAAGATGAAAATTTGGTACAATAGTTCCGAAAATGTCCGCATTTCTCTTGCTCCTATCAAATTCTCGGTGTCTCCTTGACAAAATATCATAGCCTTCGCGAAAATCCGTTATGAGAATAAACGGCTTGGAGTATGGGAACATGAAGACTTGGGAAATCGGGGTGTTCAGTTTTGCATTATGATCGCGGAAAAATCTCCGAAAATCTCCCGTCTTTTGGTACTGCTTTATTTCCGGTGTATCGCCTAAAATTCGATTTGCGGACGATTTATTGTAAGGGATATTTCCTGGAATCGGCTTTGGGCAATGCCGGATGTAGAGATAGTAGAGAAGTACCCATATTACGGCAAGAGTAATCGGTACTGAAGTTGATATACTCCATGGCACAAAAAGCTCATTTTCGTTTGCTTCGGCCATGTTTAAACGGAATTATTGTTATAAAGGTTCGCTCAATCGTTGGAGCTCTCTGCGTTCTGTTGGTAAAATATCCAAATGCTTATCACGAAGTGGACACTCTGTGTGTCTTGATACCATAAGGGCATTAACATTGGCAAGATCATGTCTGCGACCGTATGGCCTCTTATATCATTGTGCCATTTACAAATGCAAAAGTTTATCTTAGTGGCTGAAATGTTAGGATGTCTAGTGATTATGTTCTCCATAAACCCATGTCATTGGGACGCACCTCATTCGCTTCATATGGAGTGACATATCGATCATTGAAATGCGAGGCACACTCCTCTTCTAAGGCTTACTCAGATGAAGTAGCCCAGATGGAGTAGGATACAAATCTTATTCAAGCAACCATACGGAGTAAAAGAGCGTATATATGGAGGAAATCCAAATTCATAAGGTTGTAGTTGATGTCGTTAATACTTTATCATGGAAGCCTGTAGGCTAATCAATCATGATTTTGTTGCAACGTTATGTAGAAAGCTTCAGAGATTAAACAGGCGGCAGCATTTCAAACTATGACTGCTGCGCTCCCTACTGTGGTCACTAAATCTCAAGTGTGCTACTTGCGTGAGGGAACCTTGGGGGGGAATCGCCAATGGATGGAAGGAAGGTGATATACATCATCTTCATTACAGAGTTCGCCTTCTCTTCGTAGTTCGCCAAAAATCCTGACAATTGGCGATGCCACTGGGAAGAAATCAGTGCGGCAGCCATCGCCATCATGCCGAGAAAAACACCTCGTTGTTTTAGGGCATTTCAGTGATACATGGACCGTGTACCCGCTACCATCATCCTGTCATCCAAGTTGACACAAGCGACAGGGGTCGTGTATCGCATTGCCTGCCGAGGAATATCACTGACGCGTTCTACTGCGGGGACCGGCTTCTGTTCCCGCCATCAGTCGACATCGTTTAGCCGCGCTACAAATTACGCGGACTGAGAATCCCATCTTCTCGTCGAAACTTCACGAAAGATATCATTACCAGCTGGGTGTTATGTGAAGTATCTCCTTCATCTCCATCTTTTTGTTGTCTGCTCGCTCTCGATTTGAAGATGCTTTCGGATTTTACGAGCGAAAAGCAACCCCTCATTGAGAATGTTTCATTGCCAATTGATTCAATACCTCGGCAACAGTCTCCTGCGAATGAGCATGTATCGCAGAAATGGCTCTTGCTGGCGACCATATTTTCCATTCTGCTATTGTGGAATCAATTAGCTCCAAACGAGTCCGGTGCAGCCCCCAACGGTCAGCCTCCCCATCAGGTCCGGGTGTACCCTGGGGAGAATATTGAATGGATTCTATGTGGAAATTTAGAGGGCAGCGATCTGGAATGCAGCTCAATCATCGTACCGATGGACCAATATAGCAAGGAAAATTCGGGTAATCACACTTTCAGCATTCCCCTCGCACGACTACGTGGCTCCAAAAATGCCACCAAAAATATCATTGTTAATCCAGGTGGCCCGGGAGGAAGCGGCATAAACTGGCTCTATCGTAGGGGAAAGGCGACACAGAAAATTGCCGGTGACAACTTCCACATATTATCATTTGACCCGCGGGGTGTGAATAACTCCCGACCACAAGCTATCTGCTTCCCAGATGATGAAACACGCAAATCACGGTCCATCTCACTCTCTTATGATCCACTTGCAGATGGTCCAAAGCTACATCCCTGGACTAGCAACTATGTTCAGGCGTGCTCCGATACAATGGGCGAGCATGGGCCATACATGAATACTCCACAGACAGCTGCTGACATGAATAGCATCCTTGATGCAGTTGGTCAAGAGAATATGATCTACTGGGGGTTTAGTTATGGCAGCTTACTTGGACAAACATATGCGACTTTGTTCCCAGAACGCTCAGAGCGAGTCATTATTGACGGTGTTGTGAACCAATTCTACTGGTATACTGATCCCCTGGAAGGGGATTTTGAGGACAGCGAAAAAGTTTTTGATGGATTTTTCGACGAATGCGTGAAGGCCGCGGACGAATGTCCTTTGAATATCTTCGGCCGTACTAAACAAGACTTAAAGGAAAATGTTACCATGTTTCTCCAGTCTCTGAAAGAAGATCCCATACCCGCCTACATAAACAGCACAACCTATGGGATGATAGACTACACCACAATGTGGCTCCGTGCCATCTTTCCTGCCTTGTATAGGCCGACTTCATGGTATACGCTTGCCGACACCATCTCGCAGCTTATGAGCGGAAACGCAACAGCTGCACTGCTGGCTTTCGGTCTGGATACCAATAGGCCTATGTCGATGGAGCATGGAATGATAATTCATAGCAACGACGGTGCTGCTGGAAAATCGCACTGGCCAGAGGAGAAGAAGGAGCTATTGGAAATGCTTCGGCCGGTGTGGAATTCGTCATCCTTTGCTGTCACCCAAATGGAAGAGTTTTTCACTAAAGCGCAGTGGCTGATCCCAAAGGAACATTCGTTTGTTCCACGCCGAGGCGTTGAGACTTTGCATCCACTGCTCATCCTCTCTACCACATACGACCCCATTTGTCCGCTCAGCTCTGCAAAAATAGCAAAAGAATCATTTGTGAACTCGCGTCTAATCGAAATTGAGGGGTATGGCCACTGCTCCTCTGCAATGCCTTCTTCATGTCTCGTGCCACACATACGCGCGTTTCTCAATGACGGCACTATGCCACCAAAAGATGTGAAATGTGGGGTTGATGGACCATACTTTATTACCCCCAAGCAGAAGGAAATAATTCTGGCTGACCGGCTTGAATCTGAAGAAGGTCAACTTCGTGCCGCGCAGTATGAACTGTCGGGCCTAGGAGAATGGACAAATTGGTTGTAAATAAGTAGAGTAGGCACTACTCCACAGGCAGACATTTCATTCCTTTATTCCCATATGTTACAAGAGAGGGTTTTTTTTGCAATTAAAGCTTATTACATGTTAATAATTTTTTTTTTTTTAAATCATCACGATTAACTCCGTGAACAGAGAAAATATTTCCTGCTTGAACTCACAAAGACTAAACGTACAAGTGTTTCGTGCTGACGTAATTTTCAATAGTTCGTCGCTGATATCATCTTATCTCCGCCGTACAAGGGAAATATTGGTTTTGTGAGACTGGGTATACTGGTATGCCTTCTTTGATTGGGTAGACGAACAAAACAATTCGGTCATTTTTGTTAAATACCTTGAATCATATGGTATTTTTCTCAGAAAATATCAATAATACGGAATTAAACGGACATAAATATTTCAGTGAGGGTAAGATGGATCATCTAAATCTACATTGGCGGAGCATTTAATACTGGTATTAGTTGCTAGAGTACATGTATATAAAGCCTTTACCGTGACAAAATGTTCAAAATTTCATCTTGCCAATTCCTCGCAAGCAGAAATCATCGAATACATGAACATCAACAATGTCCTTTATGCAGTTACCACTTTCCGGCAAAACGGCCCTTGTGACTGGTGGTATTAGGGGAATTGGTCGAGGCATTTCCCTTGAGCTCGCCCGCCGAGGTGCCAACGTTGCTATGGTCTATGCCAACCCGAGCCGTGAGGAGACTGCAAAGGAAGCAGTCAAAGAAATCCTTTCACTTGGTTCTGGTGCAATGGCGGTTAGCATTTTGGCCGACTTGAAGATCTTCAGCAGCTATCAAAAAATTATCGATGTAGCGCTGCAAGAATTGGGTGGCGAAAACATTGATATTGTTGGTATGAATGGTTCCTAGAAAATTGCTAATGGTCTTTTATATGGCTGAGAATTAATACAACGACAGTTCACAATGCGGCTGTCGCATCACCCGTATCGACCGAAAATACAACTGAGGAGCTTTACGACGATACGATGGCGACAAACCTGCGAGCTCCATTTTTTCTTACGCAGACACTACTGCCATATATACCGCGTGGAGGGCGCATTATTCTTATTTCATCCATTGCAGCTAGGCGGTTTTCTTTTGGGATGCATCAAACAGCTTATGCTATTAGTAAGGCAGCTATCGAGGCACTCGCTAGAAGTTGGGCTGTCGAGGTGAGATGATATAATTTCTACTAGCTTATAGGATTCTAACGGGACCATCAGTTTGGCCAATCTCGCGGTATTACTGTCAATGGTAAGTGGACCATCTTTCACCTCGTTTAACTGAATTGTATCGCTCACTCATTGCAGCGTTATCGGTTGGGTTTGTTGAAACGGAATTAGTGCAGAGCCTCTCCCCTGAGAGCCTTGATGCATACCGCAAAGAAAATGCACGTGTGACCGCAGCAGCTCCAAGGAGCGGCACGCCAGACGACATTGCCCAAATAGTGGCCTTCATTGCCAGCGAAGGGTCTCGCTGGGTGACTGGAAGTACCATTTCAGCTAGCGGTGGGAAATGGCCAATTTAGTCAAGCTCTCGCGTATTACTATAGATGGTGGCTCGAAACCTTTCGCTGCACCTATATCCGGGACGGACATTGTGTCGTATCTATGGAGGCTGCCAATACTAAAGATCACGGTTGATATGTCCGCATTCCATGGCGATGGTCTCGCAATCGCCACAAGCTAAAATTCAACGGTTCTTCATACCTAAGTAATGCAATTTGATTTGGATACTGTTTATGCGTCAGGTATTAAAAGAAGCATGAAAAGGCTCATGTACTACAGTCTCCACACTCGTTCCCGTAACCATGTCCCCAGCTCGCTCATATATGCCTCAGCCTTTGCCTCTGCATCCTGGATATCCTCGCGGCGAGTATCCATCTCCCGGTAAAAGCGGTGGTCAAATCCATGCAACACGTCTGGGACAAGCAACCACCTGACACCGCCGCCCTGCCAATGCTCCTCGAATGCAAACCGGTCGTCGGGTGCCCCCTCTTCGAGCCCACGAAGGGCACTCCCATAATGAACTTGTTCCTGTCCAACAACTCGCCACTGGGCCTGCTTGCTATCCGAATCCGGCGTTCCGTGATCAACCCCAGCCCCTTGACGCGACAGCCGGCATGCCAGGCGCCAGGCTTCGTGCGCGAACATTGAGAGATCCGCATATCCTGGGCTCAGCAGTGGGTTGCACAGATCCACACCATATGGAACGTATCCCCAGCATAACGCCGGCATGACAGGGCCAAAGCTGTCCCTACCGCCGCGCTTTGAGGGCTTCAAGCTAGGTTTGTAAAACCTATTGGCCAACTTTTTCTCTGTTGGGATTGAGAAATCGAGAACACCAGCAACACTCATGACGGCAGCGGGCGCAAGGGGGTGATTATGTATCGAGGGTAGTTGGCTGACCGCGAGCGCGAGGTTGCCTCCGGAGGCGAAACCTAGGAGCGCAATGCGGTTTATGGGGTGGTGAGACGAGCGATCAAGGGGGATGGTTTTATCAGCTAGTGCAGCAAGCATCAAGGCTTCAATGTCGTGAACGGGTCCGGGAAACGGGTTTCTTGGTGCCTTGGAGTGGTCAAGTCCAATAACAACAACATGCTGGCTGTCAGCGAAGGTGCGATTCCACTCATCGTGCTCCTTATTGTAACCTATAAACAACCCACCTCCAACTATAGCAAACAAAACAGGGTAAACATGTGGGGACGATATATCGTGGGAGGCTGGCAAAAAGATCCTACGTGAATTCCACCCAGGTATTAGAGAATGCTCATGCTGTTCGACTTAATAGGCTTCACCAACCGAACGGGTAAATGTGGCCGGCAAGAATAGGTCTTGATAAGGTCTGGCTTGACGCTTGGAGGCCAAATGATTTCTTTCAATCCTTGAAACCCTCGTGATAAAATAACAAGACCTTTTCCAGTATAGAGAATAACTGAATAGACTATCTTAGAAGTCAGAGGTGGTGGCATTTGTAGCACTGCTAGTGCATCGTGATGACTTTGTTCAGGAGTTCCGGCGCTCATTCTCGTACATGAGCAGTTTGAGATTGCTAGTTTGTGACTATTAGACTGGTTCGAAGAAAAGTCGACGGAAGAGATAGACTGGGCTGACCAAGTGCATCAAAATACAGATATTTGTATATCCAATGCGGTTGGGAGCGTAGCTATCTGCACACGGTCAGTATTAGTACTGCTGCCACAACTGGAGTGTGGTTTCTCCCAGGCGGGGAAAGGGGGGGGAAGGGGGGGGGGGGGGGGGGGGGGGGGTTGACAACGAGACACTCCCGTGAGCTCTGCCTGTGGAAGATACGTTCCGAGGTTGGTGAATCGTTCCACCATCATCATAGAGGAGAGTTGGTTACGTTGAACCTATCTTGGGCGGTCTGGCATCTCCTTGCTTGGGCTTGGCATGCTGTTTGGCAGTGCGTTTCGCCTCAGGGTACGAAAAAACAACCTCGTTCTGCACACATCTTTGGCAGCCGATCGGAATTTAATCTTATTACAGTAAAAATTATTTATTTATATATTAAATTGTTATACCAAGAAATATGATATGTATCATCTAAAAAAACTTTTAACAAATTTTAATATTATTTTCTTTATAAACCCTTTTTATTACTAGAATATTATAAATTCCCCATACTCTAGCTTTTTAAGCAGACCATGCTATACAACGTTGACCAACTCGTGGGCTTGCCTCTTCCGAAAACCAGGCTTGCATTTGCAGTTTATCAGCAGAACCAGGCTCACTTTCAGTTGTTTCATTATATCCCAGGGCCATGAAAATTCGACCACGGCGGTGCTCAATAGGTTGCAGGGCAAAATATACTGTTCCAGGCCCGCTCAAAGTAATATTGGCCTGCAGCAAGCCAAATCCCGACATACCGGTAGCGGCCTCGGTAAATGGTAAGAATATCCCAGTATCCTCAGTGGGATATTCGACCGCGTTTAATCCTCGAGGGACGGATGGTTTAAATGTAGGGCTTTGAGAGAGGCCTATTTGGCTAAGAGAATCGGTCTCATAAGTTGATGGAATGCTGACGTTTTTGCCGATTGCCCAGAGTGACGGACGATAACTATACAGCGACGTAATGTTGGGAATTCCTAGAGTAACAACCAGGTATAACGAAGTATCGTTAATAAGAACTTTGCTATATGAGGCAGTAGATGGGCAATCAAATGAGACCATGAGAAGGCGAGTCTCTACCGGGTCTGGAAATTCCCATGCAGTTGTAATTGAGTCGTGGCTACCGTCGTCTAGGAACGGAACATGGGCAAAACCGGTTCCGACCAGCAGAAAACTGAAAAAGAGGCCTATGAACAACATATCTTCTTCTGCAAAAAAGAAAAACTTGTCCAAGATTTTTTTTTTAAAAGATTGTTTAATCGCTTTCTGAGAGAGGTGTTGGGATAAAAAAAAACATTACCTTATGCAATCTGGAAAATGGGTTTCGATAGCTATTTTATCCTCAGAGCTGGTTTTGATTACATACCTAGGGAGCAAAGTGACTAGGGAGGTTAAATGACTCTCGCTGTCAGAAGTGCCAACGAAACCAAGCGTGGGGGGCTAACCACATTGCCTAGACCTGAGAACCCTGATAGGGAAGTCAGAACCCCCCTTCTCGAGCCTAGTACCACAAAGCGTACTGACTATATGGTAAAGGCTCTAAAATTGCAGGCATACCCCATTCGGATTAAGATATGGATAGCTTAGTTTTTACTACAATTGTACATGTTTTCCTCAAAAATTGATAGTTGATTTGAGAACCTTGATAGGTGTCGGGTGATATTTGGCCAAGCCTCTATAGCGTTTATGGTATTTACATTGATTACACTCCGTAGACTCCCATCGACTCCACAATAACGTATGAATGGAGCCAGTAGCATCGGCATAGGCCGAACGTAATACGGAGTGCACATGATGATAATGGGCATCATTACTGAGAACGCGCCTCTGTGTAAATATCGTACATATATGCCTCCGGAGCAGAACCGCCGTAGAACGTGACTGGACTTACGAGCAGGAGAGCCTCGGCTCCATTTAGTTTAACTTAGAGGTTTTGGACACAAGTAACGGTTGCCTCATCATTCCAGATAATAAGAAGTAACTAGAAGTATGGCTGACGGGTAATATTTCACCCATAAATGGAATTCAGGCCGTTCATGCCCCCTGTCTTTTGCATTTGGATGACGCCCACCCGCTGAGTTTTGTTTGCTCCGAGAGGGACAGTTAGATTCAGTCTCACTCAGCTCGCCCTACCTTCGGCTATTATTCTGCTCCAGCAGTGGAGCCGCAGAATATTATCCGTTGGGTGGCATCCAATTAAACCTTTTGATCAATCGTACAAAGACCCCTATGCGAGGCACATACATAAATATTTCGTATTATACGAAAGCGATTTCTAAACTTGTTTTGGACGATTTTGAGCCAACGCATTACGACATGTCTCAAGGCTCCCCGGCAATCATGTCTGAGGACCAGAAGCAGGAGATCGGAGGTAGATATTTCCTACCTCGCAATTTGGAAGAGGCGGCACGCATGAAGAATCAGCATGAATGGCTGAAAGGAGGTGCTGGCGGACTGGTCCTGGCTCCTATTGATTTAGGACGCCAGGGGATGCGTGTGTTGGACTCGGCCACAGCAGACGGTAAACACACCCGCGTCATTCGTTGGCTTGGCCATATCACTAAATTACGACAGGATACTGGATACAGGATGTCAAGTCAATCTTCCCAGAGAGTACTGAGTTTGTAGGCTTTGACAATATGTAAGTTGACGACTGCCCTGGGGCAAAACACTAGTATGTTGCTGTAGTTTTACTATCTGCTAACAAGGCTTTATTGAAAGCCCCGAGGGATACCCCCCTCTCGATCCTCCTCTGGAAATTATCAAACAAAATCTTGTTGATGAATTCCCCGTTGAGTGGGAAAGTAACTTCGACTTCGTGCACCAGCGTTTTGTCATTCCCCTGTTTGCGGAGAGTGAGGTGCAGCCGGTTCTTCGCAAACTCATTAAATGCATGAAACCAGGTGCTTGGATCCAGCTAGTTGAGATGGATTTCAAGACACCGGTTTCTGAGCCCCTTGAATCTTGCCAAGCGGCTCAGAAGTTTCATAAGCTCACAAGTTCGGTAGTATCTGACCCTCTCGCCTCAACAAAGCTAGCAGCGAGATTGAATGAAGAGGGTCTCACAAATGTTACCTATCAGACAGTCGACATGATAGCAGGCTCTTCTCATCCAGACGCTGCACTGGGAGAGCGAGGACGACGTAATATGTCGTCCGTGATGGCCTACTTCCAATCTGTGTCTAGGTAAGGGAATCTTTTAACGCGAATAGAAAACGAATGCTGAACAAGATAAAGTGCCGAGAAAATGGGAATGACAGCGCAGGAATGGGCTTCCTTGCCGAATGAATTCGAAGATGAGATGAGCAAGTATAAGATCGCCGTCCGTGTCTACTTCGTCTGGGGTCAGAAGCCAGTAGCGTAGTAGGATCGGAGACGTACGTTCGACGGTTGTTTTCTCATGAGTATATTAAAATTCAGGAAGCATTAATTAGTATCTGAATTTGCGATGATGATGCGCCGTTTGTCCCGTACAACTGTGCAGCCATCAAACCTACCAACATAGACCAATCAGCAATAGTGCAACTTTTCCATGCGCTTCGTGTGATAGGTGTATAGGGAGATATGTACAGTATTCGAACAAAAGAAAAAAAATTAACAAGTGACGCCCATATAGAGACCCCCGTCAGTCAGGCTATCCATCTTGCGCTTACCCGCCATAATGTCCAAGTCTAACTCTATTTTTGGCCGTTCGGGTCGACCATGAGAGGGAAAAGAAATGGATTCGCCTCAACACTGGCCAGCCCTGTCGATCATACGCGGGGACTAAACAGCTAAATGGTGGAGTGCCCAGCCCAGAATACGTCCCGAGCCCTTTTTATGGTACAACTTACTCGCCGTTCGGAGGGGGATCAATTCTCAATGAAAAGCCCAGTCCTCCCGCCTACTTGGCCCATGATCAAGACAAAGGTATAGATTCGCCCACTCGTTGCATTATGGCAGATACGGCTGATGTTCTGATAGTTGGGGCGGGTCCAGCCGGCTTGACTGCGGCGCTTGCCCTAGCCCGACAGCAACAAAGTTCATTTGTATTTGATGAGGGGAGCTACCGGAATGATACAGCAGATCATATGAACCTCATACCCGGATTCGATGGCACCAAGCCGTTGGAATACAGAGAGGCTGCTAGGTCCAACATCCTCTCAAACTACGATCAGGTTAATTTCCTCAATGTGAGGATTTCCGACGCTAAGAAAGACGACTCGAGTGGCGTATTCATACTCACCGATGAGACAGGGAAGAGTTGGAATGGCCGAAAGCTAATATTGGCAAACGGTGTAGAGGATATTTTCCCGCCGATAGAAGGTTATGCAGAATGCTGGGGAAAGGCCATGTATGCATGCCCATGAAAAGTTTCTGCCTTAGAGGACATATGTTGATGAACCTGACCTCGAATTAGCTTTCACTGTCTCTTCTGCAAGGGCTATGAGCAACGCGGCTGCTCCTCTGCTGGGGTTCTCGCAATAGGAGGGCTGTCTAAGGCCCCGATGGCCCTCCACGTGGCTCGTCAAGTAACTACACTCGGTAAAATCGTCAATATCTATACCAATGGCTCCGAGGACCTGGCCAACGACATCGCTGCCGGATTCGGCTCAGTGGCGCCCATGACGGTCGATACGAGAAAGATCCAGCGGATGATCCTTGAAGCTGATGGAGCAGGAATACAACTCCAATTCGAAGATGGTAGCAGCAAGACGGAAGGTTTTCTGGCACATACGCCCGTAACCAAGCCTCGTGGTCCTTTCGCAGCGCAACTTGGATTAGCGTTAAGACCTAGTGGAGACATAGAAGCCGCTCCGCCTTTCTATCAAACCTCCGTCAAAGGAGTCTATGCTGCCGGTGATAGCTGCGGGATGATGAAGAATGTACCACATGCTATTTTTTCGGGATCGTTGGCTGGAATGGGAGCCTCTCAGCAAATTGTTGCCGAGAACTTGGGACAAACGTCTTTATTTGGCTAGCTCCGGTGTCGGGGTGATGTACTTGTCGTAGAATGATAGCATCAACCGGAGAAATCGGGCCAATCAATAAAGACTAATCAAAGGAAATCAGCCTGTCCGCGATCGCATGAGAGGCGTTCTTGCTATGTAACACAAATTTCGGTGGGGCTACGAAATGAAGTCCCCGGATATTTGCCATCGCGATGGATTGAGACGTGAATCCCCTCCACCCCGGAGCCGAGTGAATATGAGTGAATGAGTACCTAGATCCGGCCATGGCATGTCAAAATTCGCCGATGTTTTAATGCTAGATACAGGCCGGACTTTATTCCCCGTAGGAAGTCAAGGACCTTGTTAACAAGGCTAGCATTACGTTACAAATGTAGCAAGTGTTCAAGATGTAATCGCTCTTCCATGCTATGTATGGGCTAAGGCTTGTTTCAAGATAACTTGTTAAAGGGAAGATGAGCGACAAACCGAGGATGATGCGTCACACTGAACGAGACAAACCGGCAATCTCTGGTAAAGAAGGAAACAATATGCTCTCAACTGCCAGCTTGATCAACCAAAATGCCATTGAAATATCTGACGCAATTGCTTGTTCCCAGGGTGGAAGGCGTTGGACCTACAGAGATCTTGATGCGGCCTCTCGATCTCTGACGGTGCTATTCAGCGCGCATGGAGTTTGTGCTGGAGATGAAATCCCAATTTTCCTCTCGAGGTGCTTCGAGAGTGTAGCATCTACTGTCGCATTGCTTCGGCTTGGAGCATGCTTTGTGCCTCTGGACGCGGAATCTTGGAGCCAAGAAAGAATCGAGCAAATTTTGAAAACCATTGAGCCTAATCTGGTTATATATTCCACTGAAACGAATCTCAAAGCTGAAGGTATTCCGATTATATCGGAGAAGGAAATCAGCGCCAGATGTCAGTCTTTGGATTACGGCACTGCTCCCGAGTACATAGCCGGTGTGGAAAGTAGTCCAGACAAACCGATATACATAATATTTACGTCCGGCACGACAGGGATTCCGAAAGGGGTCGTCATCCCACGCAGGTGTATCGACAACTATGTCAGACAAGGAGGCGACGGAGGAATGCCTTTTAATTTGGGAGTATGCCGTGGTGACAGTGTTTTGCTGCTTTTCTCCCTCGGCTTTGACGGTTAGTGCGCCAAAGGTTGTCTATTACATGAATGGATATACTGATTGAAACCGGGTCTCAGCTGCCTGGGGTGTCTTCTTTAGTACTCTCTGTCATGGGGGAGAGCTCATCCTGTCCGAACCTGGGAAAGTCCTGGAGGATGCAAAGAGGTGTACAGTTTTGCCTGCAACTCCTCAGCTGCTAGAATCTTTGGGAGACCCTGAGGCATATCAAAATATCAAATTCATATTTCTCGGAGGGGAGTCACCGAATTTAGCACAGGTAAAAAGGTGGTCCGCCTCCGATCGACGAATCTATAATTGCTATGGACCAACCGAAGCCACGATATGCGCGAGTATGGCTGAGCTAGCACCTGGAGCTCCAGTAGACTTGGGGCATCCAATGGCTGATACGCAATTGTTGATCTTAAACGAAAAGTTGGACGTTGTAGATGAGGGCGAGATCTTTATCTCCGGGCCGGGCCTGGCTACTGGGTATTATAAGAACCCGCAATTGACCGCAGAAAGGTTCATCACGTGGCATGGACAGAGACTGTATCGAACTCTTGATCTAGGTCGAAAGACGGCAGAAAGCATCGTTTTCTGTGGGCGAGAGGACAGCATGGTCAAGAACCGCGGGTATCTCATCAACCTTGACCTAGATGTTCTACCCACATTGTTTTCCTACCCTGGAGTTCTATCGGCAGCCGCGTTCATGAAAAATTCTCAATTGGTAGCCGTTATTACTCCAGAAAATATCGATATAGCAGCTCTGCGACGCTTCTTGTCCCAAAAATATGATAAATTTTTGGTGCCGGATCATATCATTACTTTCAAAGAGCTCCCTCGAACGCCAAACGGAAAAGCCGATCTCAAATTGCTCCGATCATCATTTGCCTTCGAGCAGGCAAGTTCAATGACCAGCTCAAAAGAGGAAAATTTGTCAGCATTGTTGCGAGAAGCAGTTGCCGATGCACTAGGGTGGCCATCGGGATCCATTCCTATGGATCGAAGCTTCTGGGAACTTGGGGGAAACTCTCTCCTGGGAATAAAGCTTCTCTCCGGGCTACATAGTAGGAGGCAAACGGTTCGATTCCAAGATATTTTCGAGCCCACCCCCCTACATCAGCTCCTTAAGAAGCTTGAACCAACTCGAGCTTCAGAAAGCAAATCTACAACAGGCGGGCTAAATGGGGACCAAAGCGAGACTGAGGCAACAGCCCCAATGACTCCAACACAATTAGGCATGGTCCGTTCCTCAATTGGGAATTCCACAAAGAGCTACATGCTAATATCTATATATTTGCCGTGGGATCCTGAGATAGATTCCAGCCGAGTTCGAACGGCTTGGAGGACAGTAATTGAAAGGCACTCGATCTTTCGTACTTCCTTCGATCCCCTCAGCGCTATTCAACGCGTTGGAAGACATTGCAGCCATGATTGGGGCGAGATCCGTGTTCCTGACAATGATATGACCATCATTGACGACGAAACTGACCGACTATGGAACTCCATTCAACATGAGGAGGATAGTAATGATTTCCATCCAGTAAATGCCCTGAGGCTATTGGTTAACGAGAGTGGTACTGCTGCGACGCTGCTTTGGCTCATTCACCACAGCCTCATAGATGGTTGGTCCATTGGCACGATTATTAGGGAGGTCCACACCTCAATGGCTGGAGAAAGCTTGCCGGAACAGCCACAACAGTTCTGGAGGCTCTCGCAACTGTTACCGCGGTACGTCGAGGAGCGACGTGAGGAAGGTAGGCCATTTTGGAGAGATTTACTTTCCAAGGTGGCTGATGTTTCGCCGTTGAATCTCCCTAAGCCGTCTCAGGAAGGGTCGCATGATGGATTTGGGCAGGTCAAGGCCGATTTTGGTCTCCCCTTATCTGTGGTTCAGCAGATATGTGCTGCAAAGAAACTCACACCAGCGGCAGTGTTTCATGCCGCCTGGGCCCTCTTGCTGCGCTCTTACGGTTCTCAAAACCAGGTTGTTTTTGGTAGTGTGTTTTCTGGCCGGGATTTCCCTCTATCCGGCATAGAAGAAGTTGTGGGACCTTTGCTTAATACTTGTCCGTTTCCTATTGATCTGTCCAGCCTAGCAACGAAAGACGAGTTTTTAGCACATGTACAATCCATGATTCATCTCATTAGCACGCATCAGTGGTCGGCCGCTGAAGCAATGCAAACATACATGCCTGGAAGCCATTCTAGAATACTCGAAACAATCTTGTTTCTCGAGTACGACCTACCCGGCCTCCATGATTCCGAATGGCGCTTTGATCGGATAGATAGGCCCGAGTTCGGGCTAACTGTCTCCATTCGGCGAGGAGATACTAATCTCTGCCTCCGAACGTTGTTTGACCGATCAGTATATACTGAACCAGTAATTCGACGCATGATGTCACATTTTACAAATATTTTCCATGCATTTCTCGACCCACGATGTACATCGATATCCGAATTGCGAACGCGCCTGCTGGATCCTTGCGAATTTCTTTCGCTAGTAAATGCTTCGCCAGCGCGTATGGATCCATATGTCGGTCCATCTAATTTGAAAATGGCGTTCGAGACCGGCGTTGATCAATGGCCTGATGCCGTCGCTATTGAGGGTTTAACGCACTCGATTACATATCATGAACTTGACCAGTTAGGAAACTACGTTGCTGAGAGAATCGCCTCTCTAATTCAACCTGGAGAGGCTGTGGCTATCCTCAGCGATCGCAGCATGGACTGGATTATAGCCGTCATTGCCACAATCAAGGCGGGAGCAATATATGTGCCTATAGATATCAAATTGCCCTCACAGCGATTTCGAATCATGATCGAGACCTCCAAGGCAAAGCTCTGTATTTTGACCAGTGCAGACAATCGTCAAAAATATAACGGCATCTTCGATATGAACTTATACCTTCCGGATATCCTGGCTGGTTGGGACCGTAAGCATTCGAACCGGCTGGAGACGGTGACAAAGCCCGATGATGTAGCATACATCACCTTTACCTCTGGCTCTACAGGTGTCCCCAAGGGTGTGTGTATCGAACATCAATCGGTAATATCCTACCTATCATACGGGCCCTCGCGTATGGATGCTCGGCCAGGACGACGCCATGCACAAATGTTCTCGCCGGGCTTTGATGTGAACCAGGCCGAGATATTCGGAACACTGTGCTATGGAGCAACACTTGTCCTTTATGATCCAGAGGATCCATTTGCGCATTTATCCCGGGTCCACGCAACAATGATCACTCCGTCTTTTCTCTCCCTATTGGATCCGGCTAGCTTCTTCAACTTAGATACCATCCTATTTGCTGGTGAAGCTGTACCTCAGGCTCTCGCGGACCGTTGGGCGGGACGCCGTATCGTATACAATTCGTACGGCCCTTGTGAGTGCACTATTGGATGCCTCATTCAGCCTCTCCAGCCGCAGGTAGAAGTCACGTTAGGGCGGGCAATTCCTCGGGTTGGGGTATATATCCTTGATGAGGGGAACCATCCTGTTCCAATAGGAGTACCAGGAGAGATTTGTCTAAGCGGCATCCAGGTTGCGAGAGGCTATATAGGCTCTGGTACAGAAGAACTCTCTCAAACTCGGTTTATCCCTGATCCGTTCGTCCCTGGCCACCAAATGTACCGCACAGGTGATCGTGCCGTATGGACAGAAGCTATGGAGCCTCGGTTTCAAGGACGCTTCGACAACCAAGTCAAAGTCCGAGGCTATCGCGTTGAGCTTACTGAGATTGAAAACGTTATCGGTATGATTGACACGAATGTCCGCCGCGTAGCTGCCGTCGTCCAAGGAGATATCATCGCTGCGTTTGTGGAGCCTTCAACTGTGGATGTTCCCTCTATCCAAGCTGGTCTTCGAAACCGTCTGCCAGCCTATGCCTGCCCCTCTAAGATTGTGGCCCTGCCCAGTCTGCCGACGATGCCCAATCAAAAACTTGATCGCAAGAAGTTGCAATCATATTCATCCCCGACAATAATTAGTGGCCAGAAGTCGAGTACATTTTTGCAGCAACTGCTAATCGAAGCATGGAAAACTGCAATCGGTCTTCCCGAAGAGACTGCTATCAATGAGGAGTCTGATTTCTTAGCGCTCGGAGGTAGCTCTCTCTCACAGCTAAGAATGGCACAGATAGTTTGCGGCAAGCTAGAGAGGAAGCTGCCTCTGAAGCTATTTATTTGGAATACAGGATTTCTTGCATTAAGTGATCAAATTGCAAATTACTGTACAAAAGATGGAGAAGACCTGCCCCGGACCGTCTATTCCGAGCAGCCATGGTTGACGCTGAAGCCGCCGTACAATGCCACCTCCTATCTCGAGAGAGAGTTGGTGCTACTCTCATTGTCTTCCCCAACTCCGCAGGCATTCAACGTAGCGGTTCAGATACGTCTCACCGGCGTCGTTGATATGGTAGCCTTGAAAAAGGCCGTTCTTGCTGTTACATCCAGTGAACCAATCCTCCGAAGTTGCTTTCGAGTGGAGAAAGAGACAGTTGTGAGGTGCTTGTCACGTGAACCTTGTGACATCATTCAAGAAGAGCAATTGGATTCAGATGTCATTGAAAATTTAGCTAATCACCCCTTTGACTTATTGAGTGGTCCATTAACACGACTCTTGCTCGGTCGAAGTCACGGAGGGACTAACATTGTGCTCATCCAGCACCATGCGGTTACAGACAAGCTCGCGATCAAAGCATTCTTTCGTCGCGTAGTGATTGAGTACTTACACAATATCGACAAGGAGCAACGGGAGAGATATGAAGATGTATTGCCAAAACCAGGCTATGCTGCGTGGGCTCAATGGAAATCCAATCATGTCCAGGTTTCCAGGCATGAGTCGGAAACTGAATATTGGAGATTTCAGCTGGATAACCTCCCAGAACCCCCATTTGGGCAATCATCAGGTCTAGCCCAGTACGTTGGAATGTCGAGCGCCTTCTCATTAAATTGGAAACGCACTTCTTCAGGCTCCATGGAGCTACTTGTTACCCTAGTTGCATTGGCCTTGGCAGAGGTTAAAAAGACGTACGATGTGGTGATTGGTATTCCTCATATTGATCGGACCGAACCAGGCACTGAGGATTTACTTGGCGTGTTTCTTGATCGATTGCCGATACGCATCCGTATACCGCTTCAGGATTTATATGATCTTCCGGGTTTCATTCAATCCGTTGGAAGCCTAATTAGAGATGGTTTGGCGCATTCAATTCCTCTAAAGGATATCCGCAAAGTTACTACGCACAATGACATATTTCAGGTCATGGTAGTGTATAATAGTCTGGAAGACTCTATATCCAACGTACTGTCTATCCCCAATGTAAGAAGTGAGGAAGTCTTCCTCAAAACTACTGGAGCTAAATTTCCGCTACTCCTGGAATTTACGGAAGAATCTGATTCTATGACATGCCGAATGGAATATATGGAACACCTGCTTCCATCTTCGGTAGCAATTGCGATCGGCGAGGTCATTAAAAACAAATGGTCACAACTGTAGTGTAGTCGGCATTTCCAATACACTACCGGCTGGCTCGTCACACTTCCATTCTGAGGGAGTTGAACTCTTGGGGGCAATGATTCCTGAAAGTATCACTCTGACCCTACTTGCCACTTTCCCTCAAAACATGATCTACAAGAATGGCATAATTAGCTTTCAATATCTTCTTTAATAGACATACTCCATATTATTCAGACGAGATATGAGAGCCACATTTGCCGTAGCTGTAGTTACCGTGCCCCCTCTATCGTAGACAAAAGCAACTAATTGTTCTAGAACATAATCGATGTTATTCGATAGGGAAGGGCGCAATTGCCTCACCAGCAGCATACAACAAACTGTACGTTTTCGTATTTATATACGAGATATATTTACTAGTTGCACAGGCCACTATCCTTTAAACAAATGCTACGGTGCATATAGGCGAACATTTCAGATATATTATTGCGTCTCAAGTGCAGGTTTCTTCATGCATAAGACCCATCGTCTCACCATACCGCCTCTTATACTGAGAGGCCTGGTTCCATCTCGCCTAGATAATCCCGGACACCAAATGCAATCCTTTTCAGACCTTCATGTAATTGAGATATTGGCACTGCATAGCAGATTCGGAACCACCCTGCTTCGTTAAAATGGTAACTTGAGCCTGTTGAAAGCGAGACTCCTCTTGTCTTGAGACACGCAAGAAGCCTCTTCTCCGCCTCAAAGTCAGTGTCAAGATTACGTAGTCTCGCAAAGACAAACATTCCATAGTATGCTGGAATGAATTCCATCTGGTTAGTGTTCAGAAACGAAGAGACTACGGAATATGCCTGGCTTAGGGTCCTGTTTCTAGTATAAGCAATCTCCTCAACGAAACTTGACCTGAGGATTGCTCTAGATGTAAAAGCCATTGATAGAGATGAAACCTGACTGTGCGTGCTTAACGCTGCACTTAAGCGGACAGCCTTATTAAATTGAGTGATCAGTGCACCCTATGTGAAATTGCCGTTAGTAAGGAGGTAGAACAGAATTGTTAGAATTAGAGTTGGGCATGCATGTTTTACTCACCACACGGATCCCGTTGCATCCAAAATCTTTGCTTAAACTATATATGATATGCACTTGATCATTGATTCCTGTCTGATCCATCTCAAGTGCCGACACAAAAGGAACGGCAGAGTTGGGACTCGAATAGTGGGAAGAGAGGGCATACACCTCATCTGAAATATAATGCAAATTTTGCCGTCGACAAAATTCTTTCAAGGCATCTAGCGTTTCCCGAGGATAACACTGTCCCAAGGGGTTATGCGGGTTGCATAATAGTATTGCTTTGACTGGTATTGGACTTGCACACAGGGCCTCTTCGTAGTGTTCCACGCTCTCCGGAAGAAAGAACTTGTCCAGTGGGACATAGACTGGAAGAATCTTTCCATGAGCATGGATGGAAATTGATATATCTAGACCAGACCAGTAAGGTGTGGCAATCAAGATCCCATCTCCAGGGTTGCAGATTTGTTCAACAAGAGCCGTTAAAGCAAAGCTGCCACCAGCTGCCAAAACAATATGGGAGGCATCGACACTCTGAGCCGGACGGAAGTGGGAGTTGAGCAGTTTCGCCATTAAACTTCGCACCTGACTGGAGCCACCAATCCCGGTAGCATAGGCCAAATCCTATGGAAATACCAAGTGTTAGTACGGGTTCTTGAGTGAGAGAATACCTCCTTTTGCAAATGGTACCTCTTCAGACAGGTCAATCTGTGCTATTCGCAGTTTTTCCAGCAACATTGCCTTCAAAAACCAGTTTTCGGCCGTACTAAGGTCAACAGTAGCCACATCACCAGCCAGCACCGCACCATGTTGACTCAGAAGGCTTGGAATGATACTCTCATTCCTTTGTTCACACTGTGTTGATTGCATGCTGAACAATTTGGTTTCCGAATTGGAGATCACAGGAGGCAGTATTCGCTCTAAAGGGGAGACGGGATATATCCGGAGCAATGAAATATGCGTTCTTGTATGGACAATTAGGTTCTTTTTAGTCGCCGAAGTTTTGTGCTCCTTAGTCGCCGCTGAGAAGGTACTTGCACTCAGACCCTAGCCCTCAAAGGACCACTCGCCAGCCTTGGAATATTTATGAAATGCTGAGAACCTATCCATTTTTTCTTGCATCACCTGCTGGGAAACAAGGTCAAACTAACTGATTTACCTTGGTGGGAAAGATTTAACGCCAGTGCCATTGAGATAATGGCACCATACCTGTATGGTACATCCTAAGATACCCCTTCACATTTGCCTCTCAGAGCCTCACATCCACTGATAGGAAACAACTTTTCAAGAACGCTACTCTAAGCTTATATCACAAAGATCAGGTAATGGTTAATACTGGGGACGGACAGATATTAGTCGTTAACCTACATAACAGGGTGAACAAGAAAAAAGCAACCGCTGGCGACCACTAGACGTCAACAGCCTAATATGGAATGATGATATAGGCTCCATGTTGACTGATATGTTGACTATGGCAGGATACCCTGTACATTCAATGGTACTTCACACTGAATTCTTTCGCAAGTCAGTCTCACCTTACCTGGGCTTTCATCCCTCGGCAACTGAGGCTCCTCATGTATGGAGGAGCTTCATGACAGATGATCACACACCCGTTGAGCTCAGTTGGTGTTGGTCTGCAGCAAAGGACATTCCAAAAGTCAGGTATTCAGTAGAACCAATCAGCAGATCAGCGGCCCAGGGCGCTGATCTGGTGAATGCCACTGCCAATGTCCGACTACTTGGAGAAAGCCTGTCTATCGCCCCGGATATGGACTTGTATCTACATAGACACTTCCGGAATCTCTTAACCTCCCGCCACATAACCCAACAGACTGATGCGACATTACAACCAGGGGTCCCACAGTCGCAGTGCTTTATTGCCTTTGACTTACTCGAGAAGGGAATGGTAGTCAAACAGTACTACCTACCTGGCCAAACAGCAACTCGGGAGGGTTCTTCAAACTGGGATATTATAAAAGATGCTACTCAAAAACTATCTGGGCCTGCGGTTCCCTTACTGGCGTCATTTGATGTGCTCGTCAGCTTCATTGAATCTCTTTCTGCAGAGTCGCAGCCTACGGTGGAGATACTGGCTATCGACTGCCTAGATCCTATCAAATCGCGATTAAAAGTTTATATTCGAACCATTGATACTACATTCCATAGCGTGCTGAATATGCTGACTCTTGGGGGTAAGGCTCCGAAGTCTGATGAAGAAGTGGATTCTCTACGGGAACTTTGGATCTCCGTATTTGGGTTGAATCCGGACAGCTTCGATATGTATCAGCCACTCCTATTCAAGGTGCATAGAACTGGGGGTATGCTTTATTACTTTGAACTGAAAGCCAATGAAGCCCTTCCCAAATCCAAGGTCTACCTACCGGTACGCCATTACGCGCAGAATGATGATCAGATCGCGAAGGGCCTCTCCAACTACCTGGAACAGAGAGGAAAGAAATTATCCGAAGGGTCATACTATCATGCAGTCCAAAAGCTATGGTGCGTTGTGTCCAGCATATTTGAATCACTTACTAATACAGCAATAGCAACCACCGGAATCTTGCTGATGGGTTAGGATTTCATACCTACATATCATGGGCGAGCGATCATAACCAATGGAATGTGACAGCCTACTTTAACCCGGAGATCTATGCTAGCTACCGATCTGAGTAGTGGTACAACAATCATGCGCTTCGTTGGATATGTTGATGCTGTTCCAACTCTTGTCCCTGGGACTTTGTGGTTGATGTTCTGCAAAGGCACACATGCCACCACTCTAGTTCAGTATCTGAGGTGTTTAGGGTGCATTCAATCCCAGTTCTGTTTTGTAAGATAGACGAGAATTTTAGAAAACAGGCGACCGAGAAATTCTAAAGTTCTGAGATGTCCAGTAGCAAGCTTCGTCATCAAAAAGGCCGAAGTCAAATACTCGATACAATTCCAGCGCTATTCAACCGAACATTTTAACAGACTAATCAGTTATTGCCATAAATCTTTACCTGAGAGAAGTGAGGAGGCCAAGCTTACAAATACTTCAGCAGGCAACACAACATGGATTCATTTACTCAATTTTGAATTATTGCTCACGCAGTTTTAGAAAAAAAAAGGCCACTATAATATGGTGGGCATCTCCCTGTATTTTAGTAGTGTACTCGCTGTATTATAGTGAACTGAGTGTTATAATGTAGCAACCACTTGTGGGAAATAAAGCAGCAGTGCTACAATGGATCGGCAAAAGTGACGACGAATGGCACGGTATAATTATAATTTATACACTGTGCTTATGGCAGGATTATAGCGGATTTACAGCGTAAATACAGTGAACAAACCATATCCGGAGTTTAAGAAAATATTTGCACTCATATAGATCGTAGTTCATACTTCAAACCTAAAAAAAAAAAAAAAAATATTTTATACTATTTAAATAACTCAAAAGTATTATTTTAACCTATTAAATTAAAAAGTGGCAGAGATATTACAGAGTGACAGTTGGAAATATTTTAGGTAGATAGCGGTGCACTGTGAGGCCAGTCGTCACTTCTGCCCCCCACTGTAACACTTTTGCTTCCCACTGTAGGTAACAACCTTGAATTTACTCCGTAGTCGTTACTTAGTAGGCCAATTGCGTGGGGCAGTAGGGCCCCTCTCTTCGGGGAATATCTGTATTGTTATCCTGGCAGTAATCGTCGGCCAGTATTTAACCGTTAGCATCTGAACCCCCCGATATCTATTCCCACCACCGTTGTTTCTATTTTTATGTTTTATTTTAATTTATTTCGCTTACTTGAAACACGGAATAAGAAAATGAAAGAAGATAATATCCATCGGAATCATGCAGACGCTAATTCTACGATTGTATTATGTTCTACTGCTTTGAGCATAGCAAAATTGGCATGAAAAACCAACAAAATGGCATACATCAGTATAAGCTATTCGGCACTCTTGTGTTGTCTTTTTTTAGCCTGGATTATTTATCGAAAACGAGAGCCAATTATCCATTTTATAGTATGTCCTCTCATCGGCCTTCCTTTAATCAATTTTTCGGTAGCTCATTTTATACGTAGCTCTCTACCGTGGTATATCCAATTCGGGACATCCAAGGACGTCCAATCTCTGGGCCACGATGGAAGTCTATGGATGGGCAGGGTATTGATAAATTCTTACGTGGCCACGAGTTCAGCCGAGATTGGCGACGGCATGGCGCAGTTTATCGAATTTGGTCCGGCTTTGTCCCAGAAATGTGGGTGACGACGCCACACAGGCCGGTGATTCTGAGCAGGCTCAGATAGGCTAACTATGGAGTTTCAGTGTTCTCACAAGACCAGAGGATGTCAAGACTTTTTATATCGACTCCGCAGTCCACTTCAAATCCACATCAAGCAATGGCGGATGGCTGTTTCACCAGCTCCTCGGGGACTGTATGGGCCTCATCAACGGTGAAAGATGGAAGAGAACACGCCTTGAATTTAATAGCTATTTCATTAATCGCGCAATTACAGAGTTTTCTCCCCAGATGGAACAAGGCGCTGCAAAATACACGCAGAATCTCAAGGGGGGGTGTGGCCACGGTATTGATGTGATACATGCAGGCAACATAAGCCGATTTCCTTTCATGACTACAGCGGAGCACATTTACGGACCTCTAACTAAGCAAGAGAAAGAGAATCTCTGGTCTCTAGGCCAAAGGAGTCTCGGATTGATGGGTAAAGTACTGTCTGGCGGTGTTTATAGATTCAAAGTCTGTCAATACTTGAGGCCGGGGACATACCAAATTTTGAAGAAATTCAACTATGATTGGACTGCTTTCAACGAACAGATATACAATTCACGGAAGGGCTGCTTCCAAAAGCCTCCAATTGTACATGTTTGGGAAAGTTTGGAAGAGGGGAAGGTTTCTAAACAAGAGGTTTGCCACTGCGACTCCCCAGGCTCTGCAGGATGATGTCTAATCTGCCGGCCCCCGTTTAGTTGATACAAACCATGAGCGAGATCCTATTTGCGAATCTCGACGTGTCAACCCACGTTCTTGGTTGGTTGATCATATTCGTTGCCCAGAATACCACGGTACAAGAACAGCTTCGGAAGGAAATAACTGATCAATATGGCGATGTGGTGGAATTTTTGCGCAGAAAGGACACACTACTGCATTTTTGTTATCTTGAATCTCTACGTCTTCGACCATTTACTGGTAAAGTGTCGTTTCCAACCGCCGTAATAATAAACCAGAAATCGCTAAGAAGTAAACAGTTTTTACCATCCCAGAAACCTCTCCAATGGCCAAAGTTCTTGGAGGATATAGGATTCCAAAAAATGTAAATCCACCCAATCTCTCCCAGGAGCAAACTTTCTGACAATTGAATGAGCAGACAGGTGTTGTTGTGGACACATTAGCAATCAATTATAACGCCGAGTTCTGGGGGGACAATAGCAGAGATTTCAACCCGTATCGCTTTCAGCATCTATCATCCACAGAGGTAGGAAAGATAAAGCTATTTGAGCCTGCCTACGCATCATAACATAGCTAACGAATAAGAAGCTTCGCTATAATTTATTTACTTTTGGATTCGGCTCACGGAAGTGTCTCGGTCAGCATTTCGCCGAGGCTATGATGAAGCAATTCCTCTGCAAGCTGCTGGAAGGTTATGAGTTGACATTACCTGAAACAGAGATCCGAAAAGGAACGGAAGAAAAGTTCAGCAGGGATACATGGGTTCCCATCTCGGATTTACGAGTCACTCTCACTCCAGTTGATTTGCGGAGGTAGATCAACTACAGGAACTATATATATATTGTTGCTATACGTGTGCTGTAAATGTGAGAATATTATAAATTTTTAGTCTTTCTGCCCGCTTGTCTTACGAGCTATACAAGCCCAGGACCCAGTGGGTATAAGCTCGTTACAAGTACATGACAGGCTGAATTCAGCTACTGCTTTACCAAGCTAGTGACAAGATTGCAGGTCTATCGACCTGACTGCCGCGAGCATACACCTTAGAATCAGAAGTTTAACCCTTAGGAATTCTAACTTATAGTAACCGTTTCGTCACCCCTAGGAAAAAGTCTACACAAATAGCAAGACTTAACTTTGGATTCTTGCTCAATAACTATCTGACAAGGGAATGACGATTTAATTCATCTTGTCGAGAGCCGCAAGCTCTGAATCAGACAGCCCAAATCGTGTAACTCTATATATTGCCCTTGCCACCGGTGGTAATGCACTTACACGCTCACTCCATGCTTTCAGATGCGGCCATTCGTTAAAATCCAGGTCGGCTGATTTGGCAATTGATTCATTTGCGAGTGGTAAGATAGCAAAATCGGCAATGGTTACTCTGCCAGGTAAGGCCATGAAAATTTGACCAGGCTCCTTTAACCGCATCTCCAAGAAGTTGTACTCGGTCCTGATATATTTGAGAAGAACCGAAAGGGACTCGCCGATGTCCACGTCTTTAGGCATTTTCATCAGGAGCCATATCTTGCCAGTAGCTCCTAGACCGGCCGTGTAAGACATCAACCAATTCATAATCACTGTTTTTTCGTGTAAGTTTTTGCCTAGATAGAGGCCCTCCGTGTCGTATTTCTCTGCAAGGTAGACCAAGCAAGCAGAAGAGTCGAAGATATTCAGTCGGTGGGCATCGCCACCGGCCGGGTCGATGTCCGTATCCTCCATGGCAGGGACCATTTTGTAGGGATTGACAGCATGAAACCATGTTTCTTTGCTGGTTGATTCGATAAGATGAATGGCATGTGGAATCCCCAGAGCTTCAATCAACATCAATGGTTTAACCGAATTGGCTGTGGATGTTGGGCTTGCTGGAGTGCGTATCAGTGTTAGTGTTTATCGGGACGCTTATTAAGTGGTTTATTTCACCTTTCTTAACATACAGCACCAGCTTATCCTCTGGAATAGCCGTGGGGCGAACAGATAGATCCGGCTGCATTGAATCCATTTTGATGGTCTAGAGAGTTACAGGGAAAAAAGGATGAAGACAAAAACGGCAGGATATTCTTTGCAAATGATGACGGTCTAGTATGATCTATGGTGGGAAAATGTATTGATCGGTTCGGCGAGTATACCTGTAGATATTGACCGAAGACTCCACACCATTACCCGGGAGTGCCAGGTTATAGTACATACATCAGATGCCCGTTTCGAACATCATTACTTCAAGAACCTGGACTTTGTTCCTCTTTGATCATAGGTCTCAGGCGTTGTCTCATCTATGCGCAAAAAAATGGCTGAAAGTACGATAGAGGATACATACCGCGGCCCTCGCCATCAAGGCGAGTACGATCGCTTACGTATCCAGCATGAGCTTGCCAAGACTGCAATGCAAGGAAAGCTGCTATATTCCCCAGTAGATTTGACACAACCCAATCTCCGCGTCCTGGACTCAGCAACGGGCGAGGGAACCTGGCTCATTGATCTTGCTCAATCTGTACCAGCTTCGGCAAGTTTGTTCGGCACTGATATAGCCCCTCAACATTTTATGGCCCAAGACCAACGACCCTCCAACGTGCACCTCTCTCATCATTCGATCTTTGAACCCTGGCCGGCTGAATACCAGGACAGTTTTGATGTGGTCCATCAACGCTTTGTCTTAACAGTGGGTTCTGATGAGGCTGCTCAGGAAGCTGTGAAACACCTTTTTGCTTGCGCAAAGCCGGGTGGTTTCATTGAGCTTCACGAGGGGGACATGTTGTCAATCCAGGAGGGGCCAGACCACGTGGCATTCATGAAGTTCCGCGATATTATGGTCAACGCATGGAAAGCTATTGGCCATCAGCCAAATCCGGGGTCATTTCTAGCGCAGTGGTTGAAGGGAGCCGGTGCAATAGATATCCAACAGGATCGCCAAACCATCAAGGTAGGAGCCGCAGCCGATGATAAAGAGCAAGGGGAGAGAGCGTTGGCCGTACTGCTTCATCTTTTAGACGGAATGAAGAAGATGTTGAGTGGTGAGTTCAATGATCCTTATACTTACCTGAACATTCACTAAAAATGTCTTGTAGATAAACCAGGGCAGCCAACAAGTAGCGAGTTTGATGATCTTCGGCGTGAGCTAGAGCATGAACTCCGCACTGTCGGTAACGTGTACTATTATCACCTTGCGTGGGCAAAGAAGGCCACTGTTGGTTGATGAAATTGAATCGAAATTCAATCTGGAGAGGGCTTAAAACAGCGATATGTTTTCTGAATGAGGTGCGAGCAAAGTGGGTGGTACACCACAGTATATAGAGACGTTCAGTCACCTTATCAAGGAAGAACACTGGTTGAGACTTTGATCCTAATCTTGTATTATCGTATTTCGAACATTTCTCGTGTCTGACGATAAAACCCTGCCATTTGCAGCAAATGAGCCATTCTTAACAGATTGATAGGCCACATACATGAACCAATATTGGGGCTATCTTGCTTTCAAGTTTTCAAGCTGCATTTGCCTCCATGCCGGAAACTTCTATTTTCCACCAGGACTTACAAGGTATATACAGTGATTAATATTGAATCATCTATGTGAAATTGTGCTATCTTGGTGTTTGTTTTGTGACAATGTAGCAGTTAACTCAATTTAGCCCCTATGCTCTTTCAAGTAACTGGCTTAAAGTTTTCTTCCATGTGCCTATTTAAGTTTATTAAAGTAATTCAACCATATGTGTTAGTCAAAAATGTCATTCAAACCCAGCCAGAGAATTATTCCTTCCGATGAGATGAAGTTGGTTACAAGTAATTACAACTCTTCATCCATACTCCCTCCTCACACTGCCCTCCCTCGGTCGTCAGTCATAGCTTGAGAAATCCACCAAGACAGTGCAGTATAGATCTTCGAGGTTCACCGGCACTCATGCCTTTTCAGCACTTGCTAGGTGGCTGTTAGGCTCCGTTGCTTCCTTGGGCGGAGCCTCATCCGTTGCTTTGGGCCAGTAACACACTGCAATCAGTACAGATCCCGCTCCAAGAACGCCAGTAAGTAGCCAAAACGCATTGCGATACCCTTCCATAGCCACTACTTCCATGTCCCCGATGGATTCTCTTTGCGAATTCATCAAAGCATTGGCCCCTGCTAGGAGCACGCTGGCGCCCACCTGGTATGCTGTGTTAAATAAAGCAGCAGCAACAGCGTGACTACCAGATTCAACGTGACGAAGCAAAATGCTCTGAGCCGGCACCATTGCAAGCGGGCTGCCACAAACAAACAAAATCGCGCACACTATTGAATACCAATACCCCCCCCCGTGGTACGTTCCACCAGCTCGTTCAGGCGTTGCGAATGCCCAAGATACAGCGCCGCAGGCCGTTATTACGAGGCCGAGAACCAGAGTCCCCTTTTCCCCGATCAACCTGACCATTGGCGCGGACAGAGCCCCACTAGCTATCGCAGAGAAAGCGCCTGGCTATTTTACAACGAAAGTTAGCTGGTACTTTTGTTGGGACGGTGGTTTTGGATGACAGATAGCCCTTGGGTATGAATGCAGATGAGAATGGGACGCTTACCAAGAAATACACAGCAGTAAGGACGGGCGTGTAACCTAGTAGGTTCACACACAGTTGCGTGACAATAAAGAACCAGGCACTGAAGCTGCCACCGAAGGCAAATATGGCAAACATCATGAGTGCAAACGGGCCCGACCTCCAGACATAGCGAGGGATAGCTGGGTTGGTTACTTTGGTCTCGATGAAGACCAACGAGATGCAAATGCATGCGCCGAGGATTACGCCGACGAGTACGGGGGCTGAGCGCCAGCCAGATCTTGAACCATCATTGACTCCGTATACCAACAGCGCAACTCCAATGGTAAATACAACAGCGCCGAGGATGTCAATGGATAGATCACTAGTTCTGTCGAACTTTGGTAGGAATAGACAGGCTAAAATAAGGGCTAGTCCGGTCAAAATAATGCAAATCCAAAAGATGGACCTCCACCCAACTGAAGAAGCTGTGGATAGGTTAGTACTTGTAGGTTAACAGAAATCGAACCAGAGGGAAAGGGAATTACAAGAGAGGAGAGAACCAACGACGGTACCAATCGTGGAACCCAGAGGCGCACAAGCCGTGTAGATGGCCAATGCTGTGTTGCGTGCCTTTCCGTCAGGAAACGTCCTGCTGATGATGGCAAGCCCGTTTGGAGCCTGAGTTGGGAAAGTTAGTGCGGACAAACTAGTAACTCTTTCAAATATGACTACTTGCGGTTAAACCTGCCCCAATACCTGAAATGGCACGACCAGCGAGCAGGGTGGCTTTGTTCTTCGCAGCGGCGTTGATGATATTTGATATAGTGAGAACTGCTGTACCTGCGATAAAGGTCTTTTCTAGCCCCAGCCATTGACCTACTTGACCCCCAATCAAGAGCAAGGCCGCAAACGTGATACTGTACACAACTAGTACCCAATTGACATTTTCAGAAGTGAAGTCAAGGGCTTGTTGAATGTCTGGCAGCCCAAACAGAACTGCGGAGAGCTGGAATAGATCTAAGAAATTCACTAGGGTTGTGGTGAGAAGAATCAGGTTCCGATCGGTTTTCTCATTGACCCGTCTCCCAAGGTGATAGGGAGGGATGCGCGATGGCTGAAGAGAGGGCATTGGAGATAGTCTGCCTTCGGCGTCAAAACGTTCCTTAGCACTGGCGCGGAGGGGCAAATGTTTTCGGGAAAGAACATCGTCTTCGATTACATGTAGTAGTTGAAATCAATGACGCATCGTCTTTTGTACCAGCCATCACGAGCACCCTGACAGATAGTAGACTCGGCAGGTTCCCGGAGCCTTTTCGGGGACTATGTTGCTTCTCCTTAACATTCAGCCATGCAGCAATTCGTGGTTCGGCCCGGTCCACTTTGATTCCGCGTCTTTTATGTCCGGCTATACCAAGTGTCCAATTTAAGTATATCTATGGTACTTTCAGCCTCAGTTTGTGTGGGGAGATATCCCAGATTTAGCAGTTCAAGGACCGCAATACCCAGATAACCAACCAAAAGGGTTATAGCAGTCTCACAATAACCAATGACATGCCACACCCTGCTACCACCATGCCTATTTCTGAGTCAACGGCGTCTCGGATGGATGAGGCGTTGGAGGTACTGGGGTCAGTCCCACTGATTGGTAAGCCGTCGCTGTGGCATTGATTTGAGTGATTGAAATAGGCTGACCCTGGTGTGGTGTAGATGGGCATAATGATTGGCCTCATCTCATTCGTGGATTTTACGACAATCGGCTAGACGAGCGCTTTGATCTGGATAAGAACCTTGTAGGCCATGTAGATATGAATCGACTACTTCAAGGAAAGTCTGGGGGGGCCTTTTGGAGCGTATACGTCGACTGGTGGGTTCTCAAAGAGTCTATAATCCGATTCTATAATATGAGTTTCGTATGAACCGCTGATGCATGACGGAAACTCTCAGTCCAGAGTCAGATGACTTCAACGATAATGCAGCGCATTTCGAGATAATCCGAGACACAATGCAACAAATAGATCTCGTTCATCGGCTGGTACGACTGTACAAGAAGCACATGGGACTGGTCAGAAGAGCATCCGATATTATAGCCTTGCATCGCGAAGGCAGGTTTGCTAGCCTTATTGGGGTCGAAGGTTTGCACCAGATTGGTAATAGTCCAAGTATTTTACGGCTCTACCATAAGCTGGGTGTTCGGTATGTGACACTGGCACACAACAAGAACAATCTCTATGCCGATAGCGCAGTAAGTAATCAGATTTATCAAGCATATTATTATGGATGCAGTTTTCGACTAACCAGCCAGACTGCCACGATTCCAGCACATGATGGACTGTCTGTCTATGGGAGAAACATGGTTCGGGAAATGAACAGGATAGGAATGTAAGACCACCCATTTATATATTGTAACTTCAGGATGGCCTCTTAACTTTCGAACCAAAAGGATCATCGATCTCTCTCACACTAGCGAGGCCGTAATGCGGCAGACCCTTGACCAGTCAGCGGCTCCGGTTATCTTCTCTCACTCATCAACGTTCGTCTGGCTATCGCTTGGTATTTGATATGTAACAGCTCTGTGCTGACCGGAGAAACCCAGAGCATCTACAGTTCCACACGCTCGAAATGTTCCCGACTCAATCCTAGAGAAGCTCCAGCAAAATAATGGAGTGATTATGATCTCTTTCATACCTTCTCTAACGACTGTGGATGGGGTAAGAGCGACACTTGATCACATAGTTGATCACATCATGCACGTTGCTGAGTTAATTGGATATGACCACATTGGCCTAGGATCTGATTTTGATGGCATGTTCAGCGCTGTCAAGGGCATCGATGATGTCACTCAATATCCGGCGCTGGTCTCCAGATTACTTGAGCGAGGGATTAATCGGATAAATGTGCAAAAAATCCTTGGGCTGAATATTATCCGGGTGCTAGAGCAAGTTGAAAACGTATCTGACTCTTTCCGAGACAAGCTACCAGTCATGGGTGAGGATATTAAGCAGCTATGGAATGATAAGTTCAGGGACACAGTCAGACAACAGTATCCCGAAGCGGAGCATGATTTACCACGGACAGAATTAACCAAGCAGATGAATTAAGAAGTTTTTCTTTTCTGTACTTCTTACTTACACATTCCGTCGCCTCTACCCCACAGGACACTATGTAGATAGTCGTGATGAAACCACATTGTCCACAAAAGACAATCAAATGTCGTTAGAAACCAACGAGGAACCTCACCATCATCACCTTTTAACTTGTGAACCCACACTTCAATCCAACGTGCCACTCTTTGCCATATACTATCAAAAATCCTCTTACCAATCCAGAATCGAAGGGAAGATGTCGGTTCAAAGGTCGGTTGGGAGACCAGCTTTTCTTGGTACTCTGCAGGGAGAGCCTTTTCATGGGCACCGCGGATCAACAAGCCCTTTGAATTGTCAGCTCCTGTAGCTCGATTATGGCGTATTATCAAGCCAGGCATAATCTTGACGCACGCACCATGTATCGTTGAGAAGGTAGTCTTTCCCAGCTCCGGTCGACTTGATGCCTGGCCACTAGTGTCGTGACTGATATCGAGGAGCCGTCTCGCTGTACAGTGGCCGTAAGTGTTGCTGTAGTATATGCAATACCTCCCCTGAATATTGTCAATGAGATAACTGTGCTACTCTGCATCGCCCCCATGTTATTGCCCGGAGAACATATACCCTTCAGTCAGAATCACACGTTGCATATCCTCTGAAGTCAGTTGATATGCGACACCGTATACTGGCGTTTCCTGTTCCCCCTTCAAACGGATCCCTCCCATAGCTGGGTCGGTATAGGGCACACCCATGACATTGAAGCATAGAGTATGCGTGTTGATGGCTGCAACTTCATACTTTTGGGGCTGAATCTTCCGTCGCTTTACAAAAACATCCTCCAACATATTGGAGCCATAAGCAAAGTACCAATGAATGTTGTTGGACATCTTGGTAGGTCTGGATGCTGAAATTGGAAAGAGGCAATAAATTCAAATGCACCCTTGGCGAGATTCGTGTAAAGTTGGATGGCGCGAAGTAATCCGTCATTTCGAGTAGATTGATAAATAAGAAACACTCTGACCAATCGGCCTAGGCCCACAATTGTACGTGTACTCTGTATACAAGCCGAATTAGTCTGTTGGTATAACCAAATCTCACTGATTACATGTAGTCTGGTACCTGATCGTAACCCATATCCCTAACCAAAGAGAGCAAGGCCCAAGACTCAAATCAGCCACACTAATTCACTCAAGTCCCCACAGGACATTGGTTTTACAGCCTCTCATTTCCAATCGCTGCGACTATGTGGTCTCGAGGATGTCACGAAATGTTGATTAATGATTGAGATGCAGAAGACATTGACATTTGATTGGCTCTTGGCACTACCTACTGTTGCATATAAGCAGGCTTCTACTAGGGGCAGGATGTCAATCGCGTATGCTCCTCAATATTATCCGGCAGTATTTTTCTCACTTTCCAACCTTGATGGTGCGGCTATTCATGTACGTTCCAACCTTGATAGTACCTCTATCCCCTGCCTAGGTACTCCTCGGAGTACACCCTCGGATGACAAAACGTGACTGGACTACCCAAGCGTTCGCATATTAATTATAGTGGCCGATCCCAGGATTACGCCATAGTGCTCAACTCTTTAGTTATCAACCAGGAGGTTAACCATTGGCTGAAAGCCGCTGTTGTCATGTCTCGAGACCAAGCAGTAACCCCAAAATTTTTAGAAAGCGACAAGCAACCCAAACTTCGGAGTGCCTGCGATGGCTGCCACGCTGCAAAGATCCGGTGCACGGGAGGCACACCATGTGCTCGCTGCGCAAGAGAGTGAGGAATACCATCAGCACAATGAAGCAGACCCTGTACTAAGAAACAGGAGGAGGTGGGAGCTAATTGGCCTTCACACAGGAATCTACGATGCCACTACAGCTTCAAGGCAAAAATTGGGAAACCGAAAGGTAGCCTGAACAAAAAGACAATAGAGCGGATGCAGCAAATGGCGAAGCCTGCAGGAAACAACCAAAGAGCGCCACCATCAGAAGCCACAGCTCCGCGTTCCGAGACCCTAGCTACAATACCATATGCAGCGAACAATCTATTGTTATCACCTGTCAGTGGTGAAAGCACAACTGCCGATGTTGTCCTATTGCCTCAAAACAGTCATGAGATCCAGGATACAATAAGTTCTAAGCCACTTGCCCTCGGTCATTCTGATAATCTTGTATATGAGGGAGATGATCTCGATGGGATGGAAAATTGGCATTCGATGGTAGCGGCCAGCAGTATCGAAATGGTTAGTAAATTACTACTATTGCAACATAACTAGTACCAAAGGATCAACACTGACCACGGTCAGGAATCTACCCAAACAACCTCACACTCAACTGGTTCGTGCTCGCCCATGTTCCGCGGGGATCTTTGGAGCCTCTGGTAGAATATATGCTATCGAAGCCACAGCTAACCATCCCCAAGACCAAGATCCAGACAGCAGCAGGACTACGAATAAAATACCCATCGGGTATGAAGACGACTCGAGCTTCTGGCGTAATACCACTTTTTCGCAAATATCTGGCGCGATTGACCCATCATTCTCACAACTTTCCCCGTACTCATCGAAGTCGACGCCATCTGGCCAGATCGATCGGCAATGTAGCAACCATGCTTCCATACTGTCGCCATATGCCGGACCATCCCCACCCCACACGCACCCCTCATCTCCCTGCACTTGCTTTGCTATGTTAAGCAGCCGTCTTTGCGAACTGCAAGCCTTATCAATAGCCACAGAACAAGCGCGGGCAATTGACTCATTATTGGTTCAGTCACAGACCACAATACCTTACATTAAAACGCTCTTCAAGTGTCATAACTGCATGAGGGACACGCAAGGACTCCTCATGGCCACTATGGTTTTATCTCGTTTACTGACGTGGACACGACTTTCTCTGATAGATCAAGAGCTTGGCCTGATTTCAGCACAGGTACGCCTAGGAAAGTTCACTGGCTCAAGAGAATTGGGTATCATGGTGACGCGGCTGCTTCTCCGAACTCACTGGTTAGATCTCAAGAGGACTGTAGAGCATTTCCAAGACAGGGTTGATCAGATTGGATACGATAAAGCGGATAGAAGTTATTTGGCTACACAGGCTGAGAACTTTAGGCTGGAACTAAAGCAGTTTTCCGAGAAAGTGCCTGACGTATCACGACTTAGCTTTCTTATGGCTGTATAAGCCGTAAGGGAAATATATGCACAGAGCAACCTTGGTCTGACCGCTAGTGAGAACCTGGGATGTAAGGTGATAGATGATAGTCACTGAGGATATTTCTTGGTGCATATTAAAGTAAGCTCTATCCTTTAGAGCCTTAGATGTAATGATCTGACCTGTAACCTTAACCGTAACGTTCTGATCAAAAGAGTCTTGAAACCTATGCTGGCACGGAACAAATATCCCTTGGAACTAGTTGGTGCCAGTGTCTCAGTCAGACCATCACACATCTCTTGTTTAACTTGATGGGATAGGACTAGCTTCACAAGTTCAATAGATCGGAAATCAAGCCGACTTTAACAGAAAAAATCAATTGTATAAAGATACTATTCCCAAATCCCAAGACCAGCTTATAAGAAAACAATATTTGTGGAGGCCTTGGCGATTGCCAAATCGGAGGTGAATTCTGGCACAATAAATGCCTAAGCAATCCACCCAGAATCAAGAACAGTAGGATGCAGTGTCAGCTACCCCATATGCCCACGTTCCTAACAGTGCCCTGATGGCTACAACAAGAAGAGACTGTCGAGCATGAAAGGTATGCGCATGTAGTCCCTGGTGCGGTTCGGCTTAATGAGAAAGTCGCGTGCGAGCAGTTCAACAAATCTGGTGTAAATGATCATTCCTGCTGAAATGGCATCGAGAACGCCGGAGACCACGTTGGCGGTGAAAGACCCGCTGTCATACGACGTCGATAAGCCCAGGCCGATGATATTGAGATAGAAGTTATGAGCCCATACATGAGACAGAGTGTCCAGAGCAACCAACTGAGGCGTTTGGGGAATAGAATGGCGGATAATGATGCCACTATTACCAAGTCCCTCAATGGCCGGATGGAAGACAATCAGCGGACATAGAGTTTAAAACTCTGCGCCAACAACACCAAAGTTAAGACCGATAATGACAGAGTGGAAGATGATACTGAATACCAAGACCAGGAATGCCGCAATTTGTTCTCGGAAGGTGTATTCAACTTTTCAAAGTCAGACTTTGACTCTAACGAGTAGTCATAAATCTGCTTTCCACTACTAGAATCTTTGTTATTACCAGCCATGGTCACAGCTTCCTCTACAGATGCATGGCGGGCCGTAGCGCCATGTAACAGCTCACTGCGGCGAGACTCGACATATCGATCGGCCAGGAAGTCGACCAGGAAAACGACTATGGCCGGACCATAGCAACCGACGGTGGCCAGGTATACTCGGCCCATCCTCCCGTCATGCCAATGCACGATTCCAGGCCAATCTCATCGTATGCCCGATCGAGCAAATGGACATATGCGGTTGCCACAATGACGCCGGCGCCAAAGCAACGTGCGAATAAATGGACACAGAGCGGTATAAGGATGCGATGAGTGCGCGTAGCCAGCACCGGAACAATGTTGCCAATGTAGAGGTGACGAGAATGACAAAGATGGCCGAGATGCGCGCGCCGAGCCTCCGGTCATAGTTGTTACCACCGTCGCTAAAAAAGCATATCACGTCGCGAGGATCGACCGTCGTCAGGGCGACACTGGTCGGGTCGAACGGCGAGATGTCGGCAGTGGTAGAGACCATGATGTTAATAGGTTGACTACTGCTAATGGTTCAATTAGCCGGCAGCCCTTGACGATAGGAACAACCTTTTATGTTACGAGAAATGGTCAGGGCTGGGTTGTTTCTCATCCGAGTTTTCAGACTCAATGGTCAAGGCTATGTTATCGCGCAGAAGATCAAGGTTTAATCTTATTTTGGAGTAGATCCTGCTGGACAAGCTCCTGATCAAACCTGCTACGATAAATTAGAGGGCGTAATGCCACGTCTGGACCATGTGCTACTAAATGATAACTTAAGACTATCGCTTCCATGAGAAGCATAAACGACTTAAGTGACAGGGACTAGATGTGAAGAGGGTTGGCAACAGAACTCTCCTCAGTCATAGATAAAGATCATAGATAATCTGCTAAGATATAACGAGAATAGCAGCTTTTTAGATCGCCAATAAATGGATTCTCGTGGGAACTTATAAATATCAGATATAAGAAAATCCGCAATTGCTCTTGGAATAAAATACACCGGCACTACGGAATACAATATTTAGAGCAGGCCTGGGAATAAAATATGCCCTACTCGTATTCCCTCACGCTAACTTCTGTGCTCGAGCCCAGAACAACTGGCCTTTAGCACCAGCAACAGGAACGGGGCTCAACTGCTCTGCCAGCTTCCATCTGACCTCTCCGCATCCAGCCTGCTTAAACAGGCCCTCCATATCCGCTTCCGTGAAGCCGTCAGGTCTGCTCACCGTGTGACGCGCACTATGGCCCTTTACTCTTTCCATTACTGACTCCAAGCTCTCGCCACTCTCCCTCAGTTCCTCCTCATACTGGCGCTGTGCTGGTGTGCTGAGATCAAGAGGGGTCCAGTCTACAACCATAAACACACCGCCCACCTTCAGACGCGTTGCAAGCCGCTGCAGGGCACGCTCGGGATCTTCAAAATGGTGCAGAGCCATGCTGATAACGACGAGGTCAAAGTTGCGCAAAACTTCCTCAGGCAGCGGCGGGTCCGTCGGCTGTACGTTATCGGACAGCAGATCACCGCGGACACCGACCATCTCGTCAGTGCTGCAGCTCAGATCAGCGGCCGTCTTCCGGTACTTATCCAGCATGCTACCAGAGACGTCGACACCGACAATCGAGGAGAAATACTGCTTGAGCCCCTTAGAGATGATGCCATCTCCACAGGCATAGTCAAGCATCCGGCATGCACTTTGGCTTGGTAGCCCAAGCCAAGATGGAAATTCGGGCGATTTGAGAAATTCGACGACTTGTTCATGGAGGTCGCGGACCCATTGCTGCCAATCGCCGGGGCTAACTTTGCTACAGAGAGGTGACGCGAAAGGTCAGCTTTTAATGATTTCAATCAGAAGCGCTTGGCGAAATGACAGCTACTGGATGCAGGATAGAAAAGGGCCTACTCGAAGTGTTTGGCATTGATCTCCGCCAAGGTGTCCTTTGTTACGGTGCCCATGCTTCTTCTTGGCTGGGAAGATTCCATCCTTGATTCTCTTGAGTTCGAGGTCAATATTGGCCGTCAGGCGCGTCTCCGTGGAAAATGGAAGCCAAAATCTGAGCAATACAAACGAGTACTTCAGCTTTGCTCGATTGCTATTTTCAGGGGCGATAGTCAACGCTGGTGTCTAGGAACGAAGCGTATTGACAAGGGCCTGCTCTTTCGGGGAATATTAAAGCGGGTGTCACTTTTTCCCTGCATTGTCACGCTTCGCCTTGTCCAGCTAACGTCTAGGTATTATATTATGGTCATGCACCCTCTATCCATCAAGGTTCTCCCACCCTCCCACTACCGGCAAGTTTATCAAGGTTCCTATGAGTGGGGGAATTCGCATTACTTTATGGCATTCAGGGCTACAGGACTGGCGCCCTTAGGTACCTATAGCTAAAGGAAGTTGGTCTCTTATATACATCCATGTAGGTAACATACAAAATTATCGCCCATATCCTTAGCGATTTAATGAAGATTACTACAACATCCCGCCGCCTCCTCAGTGGCATGCACCTTTTCGACAAATGCGCACGCAGTTACAAAATGCTTCCCCGCACAGTAGTAGTTCTTCATCTTTTGCAGCGCCCAGTCTCTGTAGACCAAGTCCTTTGTCTCAATTGCGCCCATGATTAGAGGCACCGGCCATGTTTTAGTCGGGGGCGCTTCCGTTTTTGGCTTCTTCAGCCTCCGGTAGAAGTGGCTGGTAATGGTTATGATCTTTTCTGTATGGGTGCTCTTTGTGTATATTGATTCTTTGGGCTGGTAAACCCTCGATGCACATATTTCTACAGCATGATAAAGGGCACTTCTTGTGAGGTAGGTGGAAAACACATTGTTCTTAGTAGCTTTTGCGCCACTGATGCTTTCGATATTCTGATAGAAGCCAATCTCTTAATGTCGTCCCTCCGATTATTATCATGGGTTCGACTTACTCGCTGAATATCACACGAGGACGCCGTGACGTGGCACTCGTCTGTTGTGTCGCCGCCGTTCCGAAAGAGGTTCCCCAGAAGATCTACTTAGCGACATGTTGCGACGTACAGGGGCTTATGAGCCTCGTCCCGCCGCCGTTCTTCCTTAGGGTACAGTAGACTGTATTCATGCTGCAGAATATCATACGACGTTTCCACAGCCTCATCAAGCCCGAATCGCCCCCCATAGACTGAACAATAAGATCGTTACCTTGAAGAAATAGCGCAGCGTGTGCGTCGAGAAAGCAGAACCATATAGCCATTCTGACGTAGACCGTATGTGACTGATCATGACCACGGAGATCCAGTAAAAGTGGTTTCTAGGCTGAGCATCCGTCTCAAAGAGGTCTGCCTTGAAAGGAGGAGGTCAGTCCAAGCCAGAAAATGCAGAGTCACAGCAACAGCATCCAGGTCATCCTCTCGGGCCAGAAGTTGTAGGCAGGTCTGACCGGCAATTTCGGTTGCGTTCTCTGCCAAGGGATGAATTCCGAGTTGTTCTCTGATACCCGCGAGGCTTTTGCCGTAATGATCCATCGCGCTGGCTTCAGATCCCAATGTCCCATTGCGGAAGAGGTGGGCAGCTGTCCAAGGGTTTAGGGACGATACTACAAACGAATGCCACGAGTTTAAGCGATTAAAGAAGAGTCTTCCTATTTGCACCGTAATATATTCCTACTGTTACGGTGCAAATAGGAGGGTTTTAATAAATAGGTGTGGTTGTTCTAGCCCTGCTCCTTTAAGCTGTATTTTGATGTCAGGCTCTGAGTATAGTGCTGTGCCAAAACGTGATCGGAAATCGTTGAGAGTGATCTGAACTTGGGATTTGATAGTCTGAGCTACGTGTGTTCAACTCAGCAAAAACTTGACTGGTATACAGGCCACGGGTTTCGTCGGGGAATTCATTAGCGACGATAGAGTTGGCAGAATCGTTTCATAACATCGCCGTGTCCGTACTTAAATCCTACTGCTGGTCCAGATTTGAGTCAAATATCCCGTCGATCCAAGGTATTATCATTGTGTCGAGGACTGGGAGGGATGGCAGTTCCAGAAGTTCCGGCTCCTCTCTCTGCAAGTGTGTTTCATTCCATTGGCTCAATGGTGGAGGACTTGTCTGCCGGGGTGTAGTTGTATTTGTAATAGTGTTGGTCTTTTTTTGCGAAGTCTTGAGCGGGCTGTGATATCCTCCGTCTTATCCCTGAACACAAATACAGCATGGGATGACGAGTTGTAGACGCATTTGGCATGCGGGTGACGGCACGATGGGCAACGGGGATTCAGCGTATCACAATGGGGCTTTCTTCTTGTACACGTTTTGCATGGACGCATGGTGAGTCGCGTTGTAGACGAGGGATGAGATGAAGACGACAAATGCTAATGAGCTGCTAATAATAACAAGCTTCCAATATTAGATCTAGTCTTGAGATAGTCGTTGGTGGCGGTATCACGTGACATATGATTTCGCAGCTCAGTAACTTTGTTGGAACAACGCCAAGCTTATATCTATACAGCTGTACTTCGTATAATAGGTATTTGATAGAACTTATGCCTCGAAGGTCTGTATTAGAGGTTTCTTAATGATATAACTAAGCAAAGCCCGTGTCAAGTTGCACTGTGGGGAATTAGGGTATTAGTTAGTTAATATTTCAAATATTTACCTAAATGTAAATAAACTGCAAAAGTTAGCTAAAGTTTATAGATAAATGAGTAAACAAATAGACGGAAATTGATAAAAGAAAAAGATTATGAAAATGAATTAAAGCTTCAAAGGGAAAAAAAAGAATACGCAATTATCTTTGCAATTTTGAGCTCGAATTTCTTATTTGCCAGCTGAATTTCTCGTTTACTAAACCGAAATAAAGGACGATTCGAATAGATAGACAAGACTTCTGTGTTTAATCCGCACGTCTGCTACCTGAAGAATCCCCTCCTCCTATGAATACGCAAGCTCACCAAATATACCTAAATAAGGGCTGCTGCCGATCAGTCTGGTCCGAATTATTCTCGGTATGTTTGTGCTGCGGGTATCTGCTTGAAGGCAATCCCGCCGATGGTCCTGATACTTGATATGAATGCTGGTTGAAAATGATTGATAGCTAGACGACACGATCTAAGCATGCTAAACTTACACTAGTACAATCTCCAAGAAAATTATGGCAGATATGGAGGAATAGAAGCCCCTAAAAGCTGTCTGGACCTTCGGAGACTTTTTCTCGATGAACAGTTGGGGTCCAGTGAACTGACAGAGGAAGTAGCCAAGAAACATCGGAACCTGTAAATATAATCAAAACGAGGTCCAGTCACTGGCAGTTGAGATCTGCTTACACTTGCGGTAGACTTTTGGTAAATCCTGCAATATTTGACGAAACCATGCTCATACCCAAGTCAAAGGAACCGTGTTCATGTAGATGACTGAGGCTTGTTAGGTGTAATTTAGGGCTAGCATTTGGGAACGGTACTAACGGTAGAAAAACGCAAGTAGACCGCTATGATTGGAACGCGGAAGATCTATTGAATGGTCAGAAACAGCTTACAAATTTCGGTGGCTCAGAGCAGGAAACACTGACTAGCGATAAATACCACGGCAATTAAGACGAGAATGTTCGTCGCGATCATGATGTACATCAGAAAGACCTCTACGCACGATTTGCAATTGGGTTAATTGGGAGCTTCCTACCAATATAATTACAACTTATAGCGGCTTCATATACTCTTGGTATATACATCTGTCTTGATTTTGATTGGATATAGGTAATATGATCAATTTAATGACGGAAGATCCACGACGTTACTTGCAAGAGAAAGCAAAGATCCAAGACAGGTTACATTCAAGCAGCCTCTTGTATACACTTTCTGACTTAAGCAAAACTGGCGCTAATTACAAAGCTCACGTCATCGTTGAACGACGTGGTAGCATCAAATGTGTGAACACCGCCATTGCTCCCAATGTAAAGAATGTTGTTGTAGTGGCGAAAATAACGGGTTGGGTAGCCCCAAGCTCGAAGTGAGCTGCCCTGGCCGTTAAGGCCGGCCTGTGGGCAAAACGTAGCATCTTCGGCGAACTGCTTACTGCCGTCATTAGCGTTGAGCAAGAGCGCGAAGTTATTATGCCGAATGTAGCTGCCCGGGGTGTCCTTAGACTCAAACGAGAAGCAGCCACTGTTGCCCAAGCCAGTTCGAACCGTCCAGCTGGCTGATTGTTTAAGGGCAGCAGCGCTGGATGATGAAACGACCTGTGTGTTGACTGTAGAACCAGTGTGTGCAATATATCGTGTAGTGCAGCAGGCTGTGGTTGCTCGTAGCGAGATTGAAGAACCGACAGTGAGCGCTGGACCACTGGTCAGCGATGTGACTGCATATTTGGCGGCTACAATATTTGCTTGCACCGAGTTCTCAGTTGCATCAGACGGATAGCCAGAGGTCATGACTCCCTCATAGAAAGTACCTTGAGCACCATTGCTATTATCGCCGCCAATGCCGAGAATGATTGCTCCTTCCTTGCTCATCGGGTTGTAGCCAGACACTGTTGGGCGCGCGCCGCTGTAAAAGGTTGACAGTGAGCCAGACGCAGCGTTGGCACCGCGGATTGCCCATTGGTTTGGCTGTCCCTTGACGGCTGCAGTGACGAACCGGTAAGAGATTGATGGATCTCCCGCGTTGTTGCCAGCGCTAGAGCCAGAGAATAAGCCGTTCTCAAGATCGGCCATCACCCAAGGACCGCTGCCTGAGCCAGTGCCCCAGACGGTGCTGTCACCAAAATAGATGGCCTCCATGTGGCCATTACCCGTATCGCGACTACTTGTCTCGGCATTGCCGTAGTCAAAGCAGCATGCACCGTTGTAATGGGTACCGTCGAGAACCGCGTACATACCCTCTGCCGCGTCACCTCGAGCTGTGCCGCTGGCGGCATTGTTGCGATAGCCAGTGCCAGGGGATATGAAGACTCCATATGCTTTCTGACCGTTCAGCGTCACTGGCGCTCCAATTGCGCTTGCAAGGTTATCGTAGCCATTGGACTCTGGACCATTAAAACCACCGGGGGGAGCCTGGGTAAGGTGATTACCACGCCCCGACTGGTCGTAAATAATTGTGATGAGGCAGGTTGTGCCAGCACAGAAAGAGTCTTGAGCGGCAGCATTGGCAACGCCACTAGAAAGTGGCGAGATGGTGGTTGTGGCACCATCAGAGCCTCGCTGCACTTGGTACAACGGGCCAGTATAAGCGCTGTATAGGGCACGAGTGGTGCTGTGAGCGGCAACACAAGGCGTGCCCCCTGAGGAATAGATATCACACGGCCCCCCAGTGGCTAGAGAACCTGTGGCAACAAGGCCAAGAGCCGTGCGGATGGGTGGGAGCATGGCTGTTCAGTTGTTTTAAGTAGAAGGAAGGGGAGATAGTAAATGTACACTTGTAAGTGCTTTGACAAGTGTTTCGACAGGAGGCTTCAACAGCCAACGTAACAGAACGGCGATGTTGTAGTAATCATATTCAAAGCTGTATGGCGAAAAGCTCGCCTATTTATACTCGTTTTACTGTCAATAAACGAATTCTTCTTCGACATTCTGGGGCGGCATGGCAACTCAACAAGGAAGAACCTTCTCCTATACTCACGGATTAGCTGCATATCATTTACTAATATTCCTTACTATTTTGCGGATTGCAATCAAAACAGCCTATTTAACCTTGTCAAAATGCTACTATTCATCTCCAATGTTGCATAAACATGGCCTTGTGACGCAGATAAAAGTTGGCATTCACAGGTATCCGAGGTGGAAGACCACACTTCGCCTAACCTGGTGGGTATTTAGGTAAACTTTTACCCCAGATTTGGAGTTTTGCTATGCGCGCCAATCAGAGGCACGCAAACTGACAATGATATTTAAATATACAATGCAATGTGAAAAAAAAAAATCTAGCTATATTTGATTTAGAAGGTAATAATTCCTATGTCGAATATCTCATCACTCTTGACACAATTACGTATACAAGAAGCCGTTGGTGATTCTCGATAACAGCATCACGAAGATCCACCCCATCCCACACCCCTTCAATTCAAATACTGCCCTGAAAAAAATTGTAAAACCAATAGCCTTCAAGTGTCATATATATACATTCATTTACTTAATGGTCACATATAACGCCTATTTGAAGTCATTGGCTATTTCCTTAGTTGCCCCTTCTGTCGCCGTTTGCTTCGAAGTCTCTATCAAGGCGCGCCAGGCTTGCATCCGACCTCAATAAATCTTTTGGGTCTACATATCGCAAAAGTATTCGACTAAGGTTGAAAACTAAATTCAGCATTTCTTTTATATTGAACAACACTTTCAAATGGTGTATAACATTCACCGACTAGAAAGACCCAAGAATTTGATAATATCGATAGTTTTTCGCCAGTGATGGATTTCGGAGACCCGTTTGATGTTGGTTTTAGATGAGTTTATTGCGTCATGATTTTGGTGAGACAATTCCTCGTCTAAGTAGTGATTATCCCGAAAGGTAACTAAAATGCAGTATGTCCTATAATTGCACATCGCCTTGTGTTTTTAAGACTCCCCAGTCACTGTCTCTCAGTTATAAACAACATACGCCTGTAGGAAATATTTTGCTCCATTGCTATAAGTTACTATTTATCTAACTTAGATCTTTGTTGTCTGGGCAATTCTTGCATTTTCTCTCCTTGGTATCCGCAAATACTGCAAGCTTGGCAGTGCAACAAATCCGCAAGGCTCGGGTGTGATAGGCTAACATGCTATATATTGATGACGTGTACGAAGTCTAGAATGTCTTATGTCGTAACATATGTATGACTCGGAACTTGTGATGGCACCTAATGGAATGATTCGTTCTTTCTTCCGATCGGTGAAAGAACAGTGGGACTTGTCACACAGTATATCCGCTTTGATGTCTGCCTGTGTATTCATTTCTGTCCAAGCATTGGCTCACTGGTATCTGTTGTGCACGGACATCGGATACGACAGCATAGCTTGATATGCACTCCGTCAATTCCGCTCTATTTCTGGTGTGTTCATTCGCTAAGATATGACCTCCACCTTGTGTACCTTCGGGATGTTTTGTCTCCCTACTTATTAAGCGCCTCGTACGTCAAACACGAAATCCTTGATAATTTGGATGCCTTGATGCCCAATTCATACCGCTTCATGTGTTTCACGAGAGTCTGCCATGTCATGCTTGGGGTTTTCTCCACATATCGAAACCAGCCACAGGACCTCTTGATTACCTATAAAGATCTGGACGGATGTGCTTTCTTGAATCTCTTCAGCACATCCCAACCCATATATTGCGTCTGCTACAAAACCAACTCTTTACCATGATGGCTGTAAAGAAAGTGCTGCTTGCAGGCACTTTGATCTCGGTATCTGCATTCAAACTCTGGCCCGCAAACTCAGTTGCTAGCCTTACTGATCAATTGCCTCTTGGCTTTAACCACCACAACGTTGGTGCGCACCCTACGGCTGATATATCACAATTTAAGTGTGACTTGGTTGAACCTCTGGATCCTTCAAATGACGGACTCTACAGCTCTGATGATCTGTTCTCGAGTGAGGAAGCACTCAAGACTCTGATTACACGCCATCAACCCCTCGTCAAAGTTGAATCTATCTGTTACGACGATCTTGGAGACTTTGATACAGATAAGCGATGGAGACCCTTCGAGGAGATTCCCAAAGTGCTGAAGGACAATTACCCATTGGTGTGAGTCTCCACGACCCCTCACAAGCATTTACCGCATCCACACAAGAGAGTCGCTGAAATCAATGAATAGCTACGAAAAAGCATGGATAGAGACAATCAATACATTTGGTCTCGTATACACTATCGAGGGATCGGACAAGTCACTAGCGCCTGTCCTTTTAACGGCCCATCAAGATGTTGTACCAGTCGAAAACGAAACGCTGAGTGAATGGGATCACCCACCATTCAGCGGCTATTACGATAAGACTAGTGGCTATCTCTACGGCCGTGGCGCCTCGGACGACAAGTCAGCCATTACAGGCCTAATGTCCGCTATGGAATCTCTACTCTCACAAGAAAACTACGAACCTCGTCGCACAGTCATCTTTGCTTTTGGCTTTGATGAAGAATGCTCAGGTTTCCGTGGAGCATCCTCGATAGCCAAGCATCTTGAAGACCGATATGGTAAGGATGGAATCGCTGTCATCCTGGATGAAGGCGGCGCAGGTCTTCAGAAGATTGGCGATGCGATGTACGCATTACCTGCTGTGTATGAAAAAGGATACCTAGACGTGTGGTTTGATCTCAACGTTGTCGGGGGACACAGTTCGACACCAACTCCACACACCTCTATTGGTATGATGTCGGAAATTGTCACCGCTCTAGAGTCAAATCCATTTCAACCAAAGATCATCCGTAATGGCCCAATACACGAGGCACTCATTTGCTTCGCAAGATATTCACCAAATTTTATGCCTCTATTAACGTTCTACGTCAAGACCGGCCAGCTTGATAGAGCTGCACTACTCTTGGCGCAGATACAACGGGAGACGCAATACTTTATCCAGACGTCACAAGCAGTCACTTGGATTACAGGTGGCCAAAAGATCAACTCATTGCCCGAATTTACTACGTTGGGTGTGAATCATCGCTTTGCTCCCCAAGATAGTATTGGCAGCATCCAACACCGTATAGTGCACCTTGTTCAGGGAGTTGTGAAAAGGTACAATCTCACTTTGCAGGCATTCGAAGGGGACAAGGATTATGAGGATTATCTCACTTCGATTAAACATGTCCATGCAAGGAGGGACGATGGTATCCACGGAGCTTGGGAGCCCATCTACGACGGAAAGTTAGTTCTCGAAGCAAGAAAGAGGTCCTATATCACACCACAGTCGCCAACTAAGGGAGCTGTGTGGGACATATTTGCTGGTACCGTGCGCTACACGTTTGCTGATGAGGCCAAGCATGTTATTCCCGCTCCGGGAGCCATGACTGGCAACACCGACACCCGGCATTATCTGAGTAAGTTTTATTATACGCACAACAGAATGGATATTCGCAAGGCTAATCTTGGGATTAATTATAGACCTATCCAAGAATATATACAGATGGAGTCCTGGAAGCCTAAAATCGTTCTCCAACGTCCATGGCGTCAACGAAAAGCTCTTAATGAGTGAACATATCAATATGGTTAAATTCTATTATGATTTTATCCGCAACTTTGATCAGGCCGATATTTGAGGACTTTCAACATGATCGACGACCAGTGATTAGATAGTCTAAAGCTGGTGTGACTATATCTGTTCTTTAGGTGAGATACGAAGATGTTGCTTTACAGAAATGAATGATGGTGAAAATATTCATGATGGTCCAATCTGTACTTGAACTTCAAAGGAGAGACAATTATCAAATGGTAGCTCTCCCATTAGCCTAGAGAAGACTGCAATATTCACTAAACTGATAACCTTGGTCGGTAAATAGACGATATTGTTCATCTTGATATGATGTAAACGATTGCCAATGCCAATTATTTGTTGATGAAAGTTGAGAAAAATACTCTTCGTGTAAAGAAATAATAACACTTCGGATTCAAGTCTCACAGACGGACAGACGTACGTACGTGAAAGTAGTAGTATACATAATTGCACGGATGCTGTATAACTCCACAGTGCTCTATTTCTGCTCATATCCAACACAGATTGACCATAATCCCCCTCCCCTCTTCCTTTCCTCTATCAAAATGACATGTAGCGAACGCGAGATCTGAACCCACGCAGCTCCTTCCGCTCTAGTGCCTAGATGGGGCTTCCTGTAACTAATTCGCTTAGTGAACGTTAATAAAACGAAGAAACAAAGAAACGAACAAACAAGCAACGCTCTTGAATGAAAGTTATCATCCTCGTCTTGTATCATGTAGGGAAGCCGTAAAATCTGGCGTCTAGTACTTTGTTGATTAAGCATAATTACATGTAGTTCTTGTAACTACATGTGCCTACCTAGGTTGAGCTGCTCATTGGTAATTACGATTTGACCTTTTTATACATAGCCTTGGTCGTTGCGTAGTAAGCCTGGCTGGAACGGAGGTACTAGTAGCTGCTTCGTTTCTATAATAGAATTGCGAGAGTAGAGAGGAAAAGTGACCTTGGCTCGCCCCAAGGATAGTCTAGGTTGACAAGGCTGGGGGTGGCTAAGAAGAGAACGAGTTCTTGGCCGTTTGAATTTTAAATTTTTATCCCTAAACTTCGTACATGCACGCCAGCATGCCACAGCCTGCTTGTGAATGGCAAGAGCATGTCATCAACACTTTAACAATTTAAATCAGCGCCGTGAACTATTTGCTGAAAATGACATAACATGAATTATCGCCTATGAATGAAGCAATAGATTGTACATGAATTTTGAATTTGCTAATCGCTAATTACTATATAGGTGGGTGCTTCATTCGCAGTTTCTCATTTTTTTTTCGCACCCTTTCCTATACGATTGAACCTTGAAAGTTGGCCACTGTTCGCATAAAGAAATCAATAATTCTCCACCAGCCTATTAAATCATCGTTACAACACTGCTCTCATAACCGCAGCACCAAACAAAATGCTTCTCCTCTCTTCGGTCTTTATCCGTATTTTGGTTGTTGTCGGTGCATTTGCTTCACCACTCATCGACAACAGGGACAAAACTGATGATAACAACCCAAATGCCAATATTTTTCCTCCCTTTGAAGAGTATGAAGGCTGGGCCATCTGCCAAGGTAAAATAACCAAAGATCGATTCCCAAACTTACAAGCGCCAGAAAAAAAACTGGTGGATGCGTCCGTTACTACCGTGGAATCGATATGACTGTAGTTGTTACTGAATTGCATTTCTACTTCAAAGACAATGTCAGGAGCGCATGCGACCGTGCTATCAAGTGTCTAGAAAAGCCTGATATATGCACCAATTAGGTCTAGAAGCACACTTTCATGGTGAACCAAAATAGTGGCAAACGTTCGTGTGCACTCTATAGCTCACCAAACCTACCAACAGGCGTCACACTACAGTATAACTTAGCCAAGAGTAAGGGTTTTCAATCGTTACAATCAGCAAATTAAGCCACAAGTTGGCGCCCTTGCCCCTCTTACGTTTCTTGATGCTGCAAATACCAAGCCGGACATATTTAGTGTCTCTGGTTTCATAGTACAGGACCAAAACAAGGCGCAGTATTGCTAGGGCAAGGTTGTATCAATCAAAATCAACTTCGGTTGCGGAAATCATAGGCTGTTCAATATTAGTAGTCTACGCAGAAAGTATTTGCCTAATTGTACTTTATGATAGTTTGAATGTAAATTTTGATAGCACCGTCCATGGCAATGAAAAAATTGTTGCTCAATCAAATAAGATGCTAATTTGAATTGTGATATTAGGCCATGCGCTGCTTTTACTCATGATATAGAGGCCCAGAATCTCACAACATCAAGTACGTAGAAATTCGTTATGATAAAGACAGCTAATTTGAATAATTCGAAATACTATGTTAACCTTTCATGATGCTGCATCCAGTAAACACCAGTCTTGCTGTGGATTATTGGCATACTTGCTGTTTAAGCTGAGTTTGGGTCAGTCGAACCAGAACGGAAGAGGCAGGACTATTGATTGTAGCAACACAACCCAAGGTCGTCATTGTCATAAATATACAATAGGACGAGTAGCCGTGACCATATCCCCTGCGGCCAAATAGGGGATAGATGTAACGCTCACAAGGGTATCTAACCATGATTTGAAATGGGGAGACAAAGCAATATACATTGATCAACAGCTTGGCTATGCAAATCAATGTTGTTTTTCAGTACTCTTCATTCTTTTTACATCAGCTTCTTGATTACATTTATTAAATTAAACGAACGTCAACTTTTAAGAATGACCAAGATTGCAACCGTCGTGGGGGCGACTGGTAACCAGGGAGCAGCCGTTATCGCTGCCTTGAAGCAACATGGAGGTTATAAAATCCGCGAAGTTGGGCGACGACCCGAAAGTAATTCTGCCAAAGCTCTCCGGAAACAAGGCGTAGAGATCGTAGAGGCGGATATGAGTCACTATGCGTCCCTCGTCTCCGCCTTTGTCGGATCTCATTTTATTTTCAGTGTAACAGATTTCTTTGAACTTCTTGTAGCAAACAAAGGCGCGAACAAAGCAATGGATATTAAGGTGCAACAGGGCAAGAATTTGGCAAATGCTGGAGAGGCAACACCAACTCTAGAGCACTATATCTGGAGCGATCTCACCGGAGCACTCACCAAAAGTGGAGGTAAAATGAAGGTACCACCACACTACGATAGCAAGGACATTGTGGATCAATATATCCGAACCAAAAAAAAAAAAAAAGCCTAATACCCAAGACAACCTTCATGCTGATTGGATGGTATTCCATGAACTTTACTTTCCCGTCCTTTAAACCAACCCTGCTGGAGTGTGCTGGGAGGTATGTTCTTATTGGAGATTTTGTTCCTTCAAAATTCAATTATCTAACGATTGGGGACATTCGGAAGAATCTTGTGCCTTTTGTCAAAGCCGTGCTAGCTAAAGCCGAGATGAAAAATGGGGTAATGGTGGTTGCGTTGATTGGGACATTCAACGTCCAGGATATGCTGCAAAGACTAGCTTACATACGCGGTAAGGAATTCCATTTTATTAAAATAGACAGCGGCACATACTATAAGTTGTTCCCTTTGTGGGCAGAAAAAGGAGGTCTCATGATGCAGTACATGCAAGCGATGGGAGACTAAGCTTGGATAGACGCGAAATATCCGATGGTGCTCCCAGATCAACTGGGTATTGATACGGGATGCATAATATCTCTTTATGACTCCCTTGATACGTTAGAAATATAGGTAGCACCTAAATTATAATTGAACCTAGACATGGTTACTATCCTACAAATGGTTTGTATTGTTTATCATAGAGATATTTTAATCAATATTTTGTGACATTTCCTTCAACTTCCTCTGCCTCTGGTTCGAATGATCTTGGATTTCAACCCCCTAATCCAGCTTATTTCAACCATTTATCTGGCAGCAGGCTTAAGAAAATCCACAGTTTAAAGGCACTGAGAGTAATATGCATTCCCAACCTTGCAGGTTCCTGATGAGCAGCATGTTGGACCTTGCCAGCCAATTCCACCACATTGCCCATACAAAGCGGAGCAGCCGCCACCAGTAGGGCCGGACCCAGCTGCCGAAGTGGTCGTGGTTGGGCCACCAGGGTTCCCGGAGTTAGACACAGACTGCTGCGCGGATCCGCTGCCGCTCCAGCTCTCAACGGCGATAACCTGGTAGTTCATTGTGCCGAGATGCAAACCAGCTGCCGCCCACGCATCAAAGTGGTTCTGGACAGTGATGGTGCCATTGGTGCGCGCCCCATTTCGGATAGAGATATACTGGTTGAAGGTCGCCGTGCCTATGATGGAAGGCTCGTTGACGCGTGTGTTCTCCCAAATAGCATAGGTGCCTCCATCACTGCTGACTGTACCCTTCTGTGAGCCGCCTGTAGAGATTCCGACATTGGTATCCATGATGTAGTACTCGACAAGTGGGTTCGTGGTCCATCCGTAGACTCCAAGACTACCGAGTCCACTAGCAACGTTGAACGTGCCTGAGTGAGTAATGGGACTGTCGTATTCAACATGATTAATTATATAGTATATCCATCGGGATCAAAATAGATGAAAATGGAGTATGAACACGCAGTAACTGATAGACACATACAGATTGCTGCCAGGATTCCAACCAACACCAACGACGAAATCCTGTTGGGTATTCCAATTGAGCGAGAATCCATTAGTCGCTGGTGTGAAATTCACTGTTCCGCCGGTGGTATAATCCTGGTTGTAATTCGTGTTAGATCGACGGGTGACGCTGCGGCGAGAGAGAGGATGGTCAGGGCCGAGGAAAAAGTTATATGCGTCACGCGTTTCAACTTTTTTCTCAGCAGGATCCGTAGGGGCAGCGAGCGAGGCCGCGATGACCGAGAGGCCAGCAACGATACGGGAGAAGGCAACCATAATAGCTAGTAGCGAAACTCGAGTGAAAGACCAAGTTGCTATTGGAGATGAGACAGATTGATATAGGATAAACCATCATCTCATGAGCTTTACGGGAAGCTTATATAGTTATACTCGGTGGAGGCAATATGTATTCTGTCATAGACAGAATGAATTCATTTGGGCGTCTACCTACTTACGAATCCGACATTTACAGCTTACTAGCACACGTATGGAGAATGGTAATTCTTCCACCATATCAGCCTGAAATCTTTCCATCTCCCTTAATCCGAGCAGAAAATTTGACTCGGAAGAATTCAGATGATAAACGAATAGCCTGTGGAAGATAATTCCTCTGGCTATCGAGGGATGTATTAAGCAGTTTTAGTAAATATCGTCCTTTACAGTTTAGTGAGTTCGTGGAGAAAAAAGTAAGACAGGATGTAGTTATCCATGCTACCTTATTAGAGGTTAGGACCTGGGTTAAAGCAGTTTGTCATGGATGAAGTTTATCCAGAAACCCTGACTCTGCTAGAACATACGTGCCTCTAATTACTGCACCTAATATTTGTTTATTTTAAAAATGCAACTTACACATGCAGCTTAGAGAAACATTGGCAGATTAACCTTGGCGCGGGGTAAAATAATTTCTGGAATCTCATTTTTACCGCACTGATTAAAATGTAACGATAACTCGGACTCCGGCAAGTTGAGTGGGGAATGGGCTTTTGGCGTATAAATGGAATAGCCTTATTCTATAACCATATGCTGTATGCAAGTTTAGTCCAACAAATCAAAGAGTAATAAGATGGAGAAGAGTGTTTGGTGAACCTATGCATACATGGCATTGTGGTGGCAATATTGAAGAAATACTGTGATACGAGCGATGAAAAATGAACGTCTGATTGAGTTAAGCTGATATCGCAATTAAATAGGACCACCAGGCATCATTGCTTTGTAAAGGAAGCCGATTGCAAAGTCAAAGCTATTCAATAAAATGGGAATGAAAATATGGAATATTTATTGTAAACACTGATATGTTAAAGGCCATCGCCAATAAGTCAGCTAGTTAAAGCGCCGGTGACTGCGTTGAAGAAAGCGAAAGGGGAATAGGTATAATCCACAATGGGCAAGAGGGGCAAGATCGTTGAGGTTAATCGGACGCTTATGTGTATCTTGGCTAAAATGCGTAAGAAGAACCATCATGAGTTGGTTAGTCATGAAGCTACCTTAGCCACCTGCATCGCTCGGCCGGCCGGCTACAAGAGCATTGCAGTTCTAACTAGTACGTCTATTAGGTTCCCGGCAGCCACAAGGTACCAGAGATACATATGTATAAACTAAAACAAAGAGATTTGCACCATATATTCGTTGTGAAGCTGCTCATAATCAGATATACCACATTTTCGGCCTATAGTGCTAAGGGGAGATATTAAATTCGGCTGAAAAATAGCAATTGAGGATAAAATTCTTTGTGGAGTTGACATACATTTTCTGTCCCTGCCCCAAAAATGATGGGCATGGGGTAATGTAATACTGTGAGGCTGAGAACGATCAAGCCACAATTGCTAGGTAGGTAAGGCTGCCATGTTTGAATGCAGGATATAGCTCTTTGCTATGTTTTGCCTCGCACCTTGATTCCAAATGATGGCTCAATAAAATGACAAATATTCAATTAGCATATAAGTTATCCAATGAGGAAAATTGTAGGGTAGCGGCCGAATGAGACGTTAGAAATAGAAGCGATCGCATCAGCCCCATGGTGACTGACGCAAAGTCTCAATAGCGGTCTCAAGGCCATAAAGGTGACGAAGTGCGGTTCGAAATGACCAGTAATATATGAGGATACAGAGGGTAGAAGTTAATGAAGCTAAATGAACATTAAAGCAAGAAGGACTTTAACTAATATTACAGTTGTACTGGATTGCGGCTCACTACCTATGTTGATCACAAGAGTATTCTAGGGTTACATAACAATTGGGTACAGTACATCGGTGGGATGACAGTTATGAAACACCGAACGTTTGTACACTAAGCCTGGTCAGGCGCTTGGTAACTGAATCTTAGGGTCATCAGTGCTGGTGGATACGTCACGCCCGAAATTGATCTACCAAGAGCTTCTTCGGCGATCCTCACCCTATGCCTTTATCCATAAGCTGCTTCATATGGATAATAGATGCCCGGATCGCTGATTGGCTCACCAGGGCAGAAGATCCCTCACAGCTTCTCTTCAACCCGGTTACAAGATCTTTCATGTAAAACGTCTACCACAGTGCTCCTGTTACTACCTCAACTATTCATTTCGTTGCGTTGCTTAAAAAAAAAAAAAGGCAGCCTCCCGTAACGATGCTAGAGCTCCCCAGATCCCAAAAGGTGAAGGTAATCTCGAATAAACTCAGCGCACTTCTCAAGCTACTCACCCGCATAGGTGTGCCTTACACGTATGTATTATCTGATACTCCAATACTCCAATATTCCATCTTCTGTTATTACTGCTGCGAAGCGCATGTTTCTCACATTCCTGAAAGATGTATCGAAATCCTTGTCTTCGACTCTGAGAAGCACCCACCGCAGTCTTTATGGCCGCATTCGTACCGTCATCTTGAATAACTGTATCGATGCGACAAAGAGTGTTACGGTTACGACGTCTAGCATCTAAAAAATACTTCTAGTTGGTGAAAAGGGGGGGGGGGGTGTTTCCCTTGTGAATAAGTCCACGAAGAGTTGCTTTTTTTGGTCTCGTCTTGGCAAGATGGTGACTGATTGAATATTTCAGAACACATACCTTTACTTATATGAGCTCCTGGGAAAACTCTTGAAAAGTGACTGGATATAAACGTTTTAGTAGAAAAGTAAGAAAGGAAGAGAGGATTGTTGCTGTTGGGATTGTAGTGCTTGAAATGTCAGCCGATTTATTTGTGTAGTATTAATTTATTAGTCTGCTGGTGCCTTGTAGTAGTCTCATCTCTAGTCGTCATTGATAGCTATGTCAGTTATCCTGACCACGAAAAATTATCCCTATAAATACTGCCCCACTTCTATTGCATTCCTTTGACTCTCAGTGATCTTATTCTGGTGATGAAGCAGCAGGTGCCTGTTTTTCTTGTGCGGATGTGGGAGAGGAGTCTTTTCCTTGCGTCAATACATCAGCAGCTTCTTTCTCTTGTGCTGACGCAACGGGGGCTTCTTTTTCTTGGGGAGTGATGCCTGCTTCTAGATTCCTTTGCTGCATGTATCGCTCTCGCTCCGCTCGCTCTCGAGCAAGAAGCTCCATCTCTTGTTGTGTGCCCCTTTTCCACATTCGTGGAAACCTAATAAAATCAATACTCATCTACATCCCTGGGGATATATTTAAGTACTTACCACCACCAAATAAAGACAAACGCAACACCACAAATTGCACTAAGACAAGCAACCGGTATTACCCAGCTAGGAGCCATGTTGTGAATTATAACCCCACTAAGACTGTGAAGCTGTGTTGTCTTATTACAAGGGTCGGCCGGCTAATATTGAAGTGCGTGTAGTTTTTCCAGAGCTACGAGAGTGTGTTGCAGATAGAATTACCACTGTTCTTTGCTCTCGATCAATATGTATCCTCCAATCTTACAACAGCTACTGCTTCTGCAAGCGAAACCAAAGCTTTTTATGCTGTCTCAGGATGTTGTAGGATTCAAGTACATGAAAACTGGCAGGCAATCAGAAGACTAATCCAACAAAAGATCCAGAAAATGGCCATTGACTATTCCGTATTCTCTTCAAGCTCGTTGAAGCACCGCCGAGGTAGACCCGGTTATGTAGGCCAATTATAACGAGAGTGGGAAAAAAACCCCGGACTGATACCGTATTCTCGTGAAAATTCATAGTGTTGGCTATTGCTTTTGCAGAGCTAGGCTAACGCAATAGAGCTAGCCTAGTGACTATCCTAGTCGACACGGGTTTATTTGCGGAGAGATCCATAATCCAATAGTATTTCGCGGGAATCCGGCAACATGCCCACCCACACTCAACACGTTCCAATGGCTCACGCGTATTTCTTTCAGAGCAAATCCTCACAAAATTACTATAGGTGGGATGCAGTATTCCACACCAAAAAAGGCCCGTCTTTGCGGTGCTATCACGGACTAGATGCATAGTACGGAGTAGCCTTCGTAGAATCCTAATATTTTTAGAACTGAAAAATATGGTGTTCCAGCGATTTGTGGATCCAAAGATGACGTCCCCGAGCTGATGAGATATGGTTGTGGCCGTACCACCACCACTTGACATCATCATCTAGGGCTGAGCTCAAAGGCTGAAGACCATACCTCTCTATAATGCCAGCTGGAGTGAGGGAGAAATGCGTCTGGGACACATAGGAGTTTGGTGGCCGTGCATTGCAAATCGATGGGTGGGTCACCAAAGTCAAACTCATGGAGGTAAATGCAGGAGAGCAAACGAGAGGTAATGGAACGACGCTCGATACTATTTTATTCCAAATTCAAGCTCAAAAGCACCAAACAAACATGTTTCGTCGGTAGGGTGCTATTCGGGATTTAACTCGCTCGCCTCCGATGGGCCTGCAATCTTTTTGTATTGGGCCCAAGCTTGATGGCATAGTCACCAATGACACTGGCAACGCACTCATCATTGTTATGGGAAACCTACGATCCGTCAGTGGAGTTGCCGGCGACTCGGCGGTACTATAGCATTATTCCCATCGAGGTGTTGATCCATCACGATTCGTCGCCCGGGCTCTCGTGTCAATAATACACCACTTATCGAATTCGCAGATACTAGGCTGTTCATATTAGTCGACTCTAGGTGTTATCAGATAGAATGCATCTTCACAAGGTAATTTGACTCCTTTTGAAGCTGTGTGAATGACAGGAACATCATCCCTTGCGTCAGCATTGGGGTCTTGTCTTGCAAGGCTGCAGCCGCCCTTTGTCAAATGGGCTGACTCTCATCCGGGGCTCCACCATGGGCGGCGCCGCTGCTATTCCTTTCAAGGACATCGTGGTCCACTGAGCAACCATGTGACACTCGCTCGTCCCGTGATGTAGCCCACGAGGAAGAGGGGGGGGGGGGGGGGGGGAATGGGAAACACGATAATGTGATGGAGACGTACCAACATTACTGAAAAATGTCGAAATTACGAGAGCAAAAAAGGCATATCGTCGGCGATGTATAGTCTGCGTGACTCCATACGTCGGCGGACTCCCCCCCCCCCCCCCCCCCCCCCCTTTTTTTTTTTTAAATTCGGTTCCAACTCTATCCAGTGAATAAATAATATTACGCATTGGTACATGTATATTCTTAGGAGAACGGACATAGTTCGCCAAGGCTCGCCAGTTACTTGGAAAAAAAGCCTCGCTATAATTGCATATTCGTAACAGAGAACCCACGCAGAACCCAATTCCACAGTTCATCCCGAAAGTCTCTATCAAATCAGTGATTCGAATTTCACCAGCTCCATTTAGTGATCTTGTGGAATGGATAAAGCCAGTACTGGATCTCCACAATTTTTATACTACTTATTATTAAATCTGCCTACAAGTACGGAGTACGGAGTAGCCCTGCCAAAAATACGGAATATAGATCAAATCCATAATATTCTGATCATGGGGTTAGACTATTGGCGTGGACGAACCCAGGCAGGTTCTTCCTCATGTCAGGGAGTCAGGTAGGACTCACTGTTCAATTGCAAAGGCCAAAAAATGGCGAACATTTCTCCTTCCAGTGCCGAAAGACACCCAAACCAGACAATTCTTGACATAGAATCCGTCTAGTACTAGATAAGACACGTTGGCTGCCTCTGTCGCAAGGGATGGATTCAAGAAAGGCCTCAAATGTATTGAGAGGGAAATAGCGGAGCCTTGCCGCCACCCACGTCTTGTGACCATAGATACAGAGTTACCAGTAGTGGGCTGGACAGGTTCGAAAACGCATTGAACGGGTTATATGTATAGTGTGTAATTATTTGGTAAAATTGCATCTTTATCGCCCCGACGTTTATGCGTCATTATAATTGAGCCAAAGACGCACTTCTGGACCTTGGGGCAATTCGTACAATTAGGTTGCCGTTTTCATGGCGCCGCCGGGTATGGGGCCAAAGAAAGAAAGACTTGTGCCATTAACAAAGAGAAGGAATCTTTAGAATATATGGAAAGGACCATGACTTTTAGAAACTGATGGTGTAGATTTGTGTTCTGTAAACCGAATTTATAGCTGAGCAGAGCTATTAAGAGTAGAGGAGGTTTATACATTTCTTGATTTGGGGATATTAGAGGTATCCGGGATGCGTATACTTGTTTGTACCTAGGTTAAAAAACACTAATGCAGACTGTAATTCAACACGTCTTTATTAGGTCATTGGCTTTTACTTTCGTCAGAGATAGATGTTTGTTGCTAGAGTGTTCAGTTTACAAAATTACGCTAATCTACCTCTCCCTGACCTGACAGATTATTACATAGAGGTGAATTTGAAATCAAGAGGAGAGGTTCAATAATGCTGCAACAGCTAAAACGTATCATATAAACGTCGAATGGTGTTGCATCTGGTAGAGTAATAATACAAAAAGCTCTCGCGGGTGGATTTTTAGCTTGGAAATCTGTCAGCGCCCCCTCCTGCGCGTAGCAGCTAAAAGGTGGGGGCACCTATAGATATATGAGGGAAATTTATAATCAGATGAAAATAATCACTTTACCATTTCACACAATGTCAATTTACTTTCTGCCTACTCTTGTTTTAGGTGCATAGTTACATACTGACTAAACGAAAATGGAGAATGCGTCCCTCGACCTCCCAGCTTGTAATACATGCCGATCTCAGAAGAGAAAGTGTGACAAAATCCAGCCCACTTGTTCTCAGTGTTCATTGTATGGTAATAGGTGCAAACCTCATCTACGCATAAAATGCTGATAATAGTACTAATTTCTTTCTGGTTCGGTAGAAGAGCTCAGTTTTGCAGCTACTCACCTAATATCAAGGCGAACAAGAAGCGGCTTTCCCCCCAAGCCGTAGATAGACATGCAGCGACAGATATCAACCAGGATTCTGCAAGCTGCTCCTGCTGTCCTGGGGTATTAGCTGCCATAAAACAATGGCAAACCCCGGCGACTGACTTTCCCCCTGTTGTCTATCTTGATGAAGCAATGTATCATGAGCTACGTCCTCTTATTCCTAGCGCTGTCACTTACAACACACTTTCTCGAGATCTGCTCACGTGTCCAGGGGAAGCAGATACAGATATCCCCAAGTATGTGTCATTATATTTTGACGTAATCCAGAAATGGCTGCCTATTGTATCCAAGGGACGATTTTATGCGTATCTAAGAGAGCGGCGGTCTCAGCTTCCTGCTGACGTGGCCCTACTTTTGCTTTGCATGCAACTAGTTATGTCGAACCCACAGACATGTTCAAGTTGGCAAAGGTGTGAGCTTTATCTAGCATCAAAGCAAGGATTTGTTTATCTGGAAGCTGCAGGTCTGCTATCACATGCAGGTCTCCAGGCAGGCGTTTTGTTCTCTCTCTATGAGATTGGACATGCAATATATCCCTCCGCTTTCCTATCCATTGGAGCCTGTGTCCGTTACGGAAGCGCTATGGGCTTAGGCAGTCGAAATGAATACAAGCTACAACGCCCTTTAAACCAGTCTGACCACGAAGAAAGTAGGAGACTGTGGTGGGCAGTCTTACTTTTAGACCGGTACATTAACCCGTTTCCCCCTCTACCCTTTAACAATATGTTCATCACATATCTTCTCTATATTGCTGTATTAACATAACTTTACAAACTTCAAGCTTTGTGCACCTTGGTCGCGTGTCGCTAGTTGGTCATATAGAAGATCCTCCGGATGATTTACCCATTAGCACTGCCCTCGACGTAGGTTTCTAAACTAGAATTACTATTATTTGCCAATTTTATCACGCTCAAGCTAACTTCAATTTACAGTCTGAAGAACTAGCGGAAGCTACTAGATTCAGTAATAGCGAACAAGAAAGGCGAGACCAGGGTTGCTTTGCGCTACTAATTGAGTCGACAAAACTACTTGGGCAAGTTCTAAAAAACACATCTTCAAGACAAAGCAATTTTCTCAAGAATCAGGCGTTCCAGTTGCATGAACAGATCAACCAGCTTGATAATACATTGAAATCATTAATACTTGCTTCGGAAAATGAAGCAGCTAAGTGGGATCTTGATATTCAGAACCAGCTTTTTCCTTGCTATAGGTAAGGTGCTGCCGATGTATTCTTCTTCCCTCTTCATTGCTATTAACTCGAAATAGTGCAATTTTAGTACTGCACCAGTATCATTACAAGCGCGTCAGACAGCGCAGTATTGGTTTGGAGTGGGACAACGAGATGCATCTTGCTATAAAGCCAATCGTAGACAGAGTCATCTTAGCATGCAAAGAGATCATCCAGCAGCCGGAACAGAAGTTGGACTTTGCATCACCCTTCCTTTTGCACAGCATCTACACTGTAGCGCTGGCAGGCTCAAATCAGCACAGAATGTCAATGGAAAACAAATACATGCTGCAGAAAGCGCTCGAAAAGCTTAGTGGCCGATGGAAAGCAGCAGGTGCGGTTGTATAACTATCATCATATGAAGTGCTACAGAATTGTATAACTAACGTTCATTTCAGGCGCTTACCTTGAGATGTTGGAGGCATACAGAGTACTACGGCTATAATATACTCCTTGCGGATGATATGTTGGAATCAACTTGTGCGACGTAAGAATTTATTTCTGTTAGTTTTTTTGTGATCGGTAAAACATTTCATGGACCTTGATAGTATTTTATGAGAGATAGATAAAGAACGTGAAGCGAAGCCTGCAAAAGTAATTCCAATCCAGCATCGAGTAATCAGCACCTGAGTTGATACTCTTTCATCAAGAACAATAGCAACTCAGATCTCCTAAACACTAAGTCTCTTTGCAGGTTGTTTTGGTTAGTCATTGGGTGATAAGCTAACTTGGCTTGGGAGTCATTTTGTAAGTTGCCTCCTGCAAAGAGACTAAACTGTTATTTGAGTACAAGTAGTATCTATCCAGTCTTAGTTGCGGCCGCGGGGCTTGGCGGAGGCGCCCGCGGCCGCGGGACATGCCCTTTTCAACTTACCAGTTGTAGTCTAGCCCTCAACACACATCCATTGTCAGCTTTCAGAGTTAGACGAAAGGGGGTCCACGGAGATATCGACCACTTTGAACATACCATGTACATAGTGTCTAGAAATGAGTATATATACATACTATGTTTAACGATAATAAGCCAGGCTTTCCCAACTTTCTTTGGCAATATTCAGGTGCAAAATGTCAGTTATTACTTGGCGAGAATCTTTCCCCCCAAAACCTCAATTTGCTGAGAAGGACATCCCGGATCAATATGGCCGCGTGTTCATAATTACAGGCGGGTCATCGGGTTGCGGCTACGAAGTAGCAAAGGCAGTCTATAATCTAAACGGTCGTGTCTACATCGCCGCTCGCTCATCTGAGAACGGCCAACAAGCAATCCAGCGAATCAAATCAGAACCTGCCGCTCAGCATCCTTCCGTTAAATCGGGGAAAGGCGAACTCTTTTTCTTGAAGCTTGATCTTAATGACCTGAGCTCTATCAAAGATTCTGCAAAAGAATTCCTCTCACGAGAATCCCGTCTCGACGTCATATGGCATAATGCTGGGGTAGGAGGTGTGCCGCAAGGTTGTGTCACGAAACAAGGCTATGAGACACACTTTGGGGTCAATGCTTTGGCGCCTTTTCTGTTTCAACATTTCCTTAATCCAATATGCTTACAAACTGCGTCGCGTTCAGACGTACGTCCATATGCCACCAGGGTCATATGGGTTAGTTCTTCCGGCCACAGGGGCTCTCCAAAGCCAGATGGTGTGAATTGGGATGACATGAACATGCATTCAGCCAGTGGCCTGAGAGCCATAATGAAGTATGGTCAAAGCAAGGCTATGAATGTAATGTGCGCTTATGAATTTGCCCGCCGCTATGGGCCTCGAGGTCTTGTTTCTCTTTCCCTTCATCCTGGATCTTTGAAGTCTGGATTCCAGCGCAATCAAGGAAGTATTTTTAAAGCGATCACAAAGCCACTACTCTACGATCAACATTATGGTGGCTTGACGGAACTTTTTGCGGCATTTAACAGAGATGTAAACACAACGATGATAGATGCGGGCGGTCGTAATGGGGCGTATATTGAACCATGGGGAAACTGGGGGACTATGGGAGAGCACATCCTGGATGGCCTTTCAAATCGCAAAACAGGAGAACGGCTACTGGGGGCGTTTGAGATAATGCTAAAGGAGTATATACAATCTTGAGATATCAGGCGCCGTTATAAACCTTCCAGCCATCAGGAGGGGTCAGAGGATACATCATTATATGTGTAAATAGCATTCGTCTGCCAATATGAGCATATATTTCCCAGTTAATGTAGCATTGGGCTGTAATAGAGCCAATGACAGCTCTATGATATGAGAGTATGGTCCGCTGTTAGAAATCGGGATGCACTCGAAGAGAGTGAAGATGGATAGGGACTATTAGGGTACTGGGTACACTTTCGCAGGTAATACGAAGGTAGATTGTTGCAAATGATTGTATTAATCTCTGTATCCTCACAAGTTTAACACAAGATGTTTTTTTGTTTGTATACGTAGTAGTTCCTGACCAAGGGCTAAAGATCTTTGAGTAATACAGGTACTTAATAACCCAATTTTCATCACAAAATTTTTCAAGATTATCATACTATAGGTACACTATATGACTGATTTATCTCTGTCAATGCGTATTACATCAAGTTCCCATCTTAGATTTTCCTCGCTCTCTGTAATTCGCTCAAAGTCTTTGCCCCTGCCTGATGCTAGCCTTGAGCGACCATGGAGACTGTTCCGTAGACCTGTATTTGCAGAGTCATTGGGCTTTGATCTATCAACGAGGGCAGAATTGTTTCTGGGTGTTTCGCGTGAGGGATGGCTAATGGAGAGAGAGAGCCATCGGCCTATAGTACGGTCAAGTACCGGACGCAGAAGAGGTGCAGAAGCAACCATATTGGCCACGCAGAGTTGAATAACGCCAATGATAGTAAGGGGAATCGAAGAAAACGAAATGTCCGTGAAGTCTAGGTTAAAGACAAAGTATAGGCGGATGGCTGTGAATAAGACCGTTCTGATCCGTTTGTCAGCGTTTGAGCTAACCTCATATCGGAATAAGTGCCGTGAGCTAGGGAACTTACATGAGGCCGAAGCCGAATACGCATATCAGGGCAACCTTGTAGGTCTTCTTCATCTGCAAGCTTGCGACCAATCTGAGGGGTAAGATTATAATAGCCAGATCAGTGACAATATCGACAATACTGACTGCCGCAAAGGCAAGCGTCTGATTACCGCACTGGCCCCGTGCAGTCGGATCCCAGTTCATCGTGATAGGTCGACAGATTAGGATACCAGTCAGGATGGTCTGAAGCATCCAGGCGACGTTAAGACTTAGGATGAGATAAGCGATCCACGCATAGGATTGAGTGAAGAAGATGCGCTTTAACATGCACACGAGGCTGTTCTTGGTGAAGCCCAGAGCAAGAGCATAAAGCACCTGCGCAGCGAAGGTCGTTTGCGAGAATCGTGTGATGTGAATGGGCTGGAGCTGGCGAATATGGTAGCCTCCACCACCAATAATGACCACTAAGAGACATCCATCAGCATCATACCTATAAGTTAGGTATTTATTAGTGTATCTATGGGGAGCTATAACTTACTGCAGATGTAATTGATACCCACGCCCCAAAATACAAGCTGTTTAAACCGACCTTCGTTAGCCCATTATCGCAAGGTCAAAGCACTCTTGTATTGAAGTAACTCACAAGACCAAGATAGCAAAGAATATCCTCCAAAAGAAATGGAGAAATGCCTCTTAGCCGTCGAGTCCAAACTCTCAATCCCGTCCATACAGTCGCTATCAGAGGCATCAAGACACTGACGATTAGCACGCCTACCCCGGCGCTTGTGATTGGCGGGAACTCGGTCTCAACTATCTGCGAAGATGCTGCTATCGATGATGCAGCGGCATCCTCACCGCGCTCGTCGCGAAACCATGGAGTCTGGCTGTGCGACATTAATGAATTTGGATAACCTTGCACAGTTCAGGTTAGGATCCGGGCAAATGGAGGGTGGACGAAAGGGAAAAGTTGGTTACCTATGTGAATCGGATACACGCATATGCACACTGACCAAGATGGGGTCAAAGAACCATGGCATGTTGGTAGCTGTTATAACATTAAAAATACGGCGCTTCCCAATTCATGCAAACTCATCTCACGGATAAATAGCAACCGCCGAAAAGCATTTTCAACAGGGAGGTATTAAAACCGTCATCTTTGCCTACATGACTACAACTTTGTATGCCGAATTAGCATACTGCTGATGTTTTTTTCCCATTTCAGAACACCATTGTAACCTAAAACGACACTAGAGAAAGCTCTCAGGTTACCGAGGCCGACGGAGTTCACGGGGAAATCTTTACTGAAGTCTCTTCTTGGAATACAGATTCCATTTGAAACTTGGACAATTTGCAGGGAAAATATATAAGCAATGCCCAAAATGGCAGGAGATTAGGCCACACTAACTTAACGAGACGGGAGCTAGGCAGATCTCCAAACCAGCGTTGCTTCTTAATTTTAAAACATTAGCCTTGTGTGTTTTGGATGAAGAAAAGCCAAGCGGCTCACCTCATTTCCACCCCTTAACAGGCAACCTTAGACTGGTTGATGAAGGGCAAAAGCAAGACCCACATGATCGTGACGGTGTTCATCAACAATCGTTTAAAATCGCGCAACATCCTAGTAGGATACCCCAGTTTTGCGGCCACAGATGCCGAAAAGAGCAATAATCACGGGGGACGCGCAGATAGAGGCTGACATGCTGACAATAATCTCAGGTACTCTGCAGGCGCGGAAGTTTATCCTTGCTTCCAGTTATTAGTTTCCTAATGCTTGAATACTAAAGATGGCGCCACCGACCTCTACTGACTCGCTCGGAATGATCCCTTTCCGGTCCTCTGGGTCAGATGTAAGAAAGAGTATGATCAAGTAGCATCAATCCCGCTGATTGAAGGTTGAGTGATAATTTTAATAATCCGATCAGATACCTTCGTGACTGGCAATCTCATAGCCTATGTTAGAAGACAAGAGCCCATCTTCTTTTACAGCTCTCGACGAGCCTATGTACGCAGCTCGTATTTGAAGATTACCATTCATCGGGGTCCTGCAAAGTAGCTCCGCTAGGCGTTTCTGGAACGAGCTAGCTGGCCCGTAGAAGCCAGCCTCCCTGGATGTTTTACAGGCCTTTTATCGAATTTTATCGAAACTGACTACGAACTCAAATTGATTGTTGGTCGTTGGCATAAGATCGAGCTCCTGGAAAACTGAGACTGCTCCGGATCCGATATCTGGTAGCCTGTACATGATAGATTGGGTGATTCTCCTTATATTTAGCTAGTTTTACCCCTCTTGTGAGATGATGACAGAGTTGAGTAGCACTCCTATCCACATATCGGCAGAGGAAGCATCCGCTATGCTTTGGGATTACATCTTTGTCGGTGGTGGCCTTTCGGCCTCCGTTGTCTCGAGCCGTCTCCACCATTTGGACTCATCACTCAAGATCCTCGTTATCGAAGCTGGAGGCAATGCCAACAATGACCCCAGTATAGTTTACCCCAATTCAACAAACCTAATAGGAGGGGAATATGACTGGAAGTACCAGACGGTTCCGCAAGTGAACTTGGACAATCGACAGGTTGATTTGCCATGCGGCAAAGCTCTTGGAGGTGGCACTGTCATCAACTCAGGTAAAAAATCCCCAAATGAACTGAGAGACTCTAGATGAAACCGGCGAAATTAGGCTACGTTTTAATCAATTTATATCGCAACGGCTTGATATCATGAAGGCTGTGGGCTAATGTGAACCCATAGGTGGTTGGATACGTGGTGACAAGTTTGACTTCGACCTGTGGGGCGATACAGTAGGCGACCATCGCTGGTCTTATGCTGGTCTCCTACCCTATATGAAGTTGACTGAGGCTGCTCCAATCGATAACCCTAATGAGCATGGCTTAGATGGCCCTATGCATATCCAGGGTATTGTCTCAACTCACCGAGAATTCCCTCTGCGCAACAAGACTCTTCAGTCATGGCAAGAAGTTGGTGTTGAACAGCTTCCTAACAATGACGGCAACGCCGGGAATCCTCTTGGTATTGGCGACCTCTTCGAAAATAAAAACCAGGGTCGCCGTGAGATAGCCGACAATGTCTTCTCCTTGGGTGGTGTCACCGTTCTCACGGAAACTCTGGTCTCCAAGGTTCTTTTAAGCACTCCAACGGTTAGTAACAAACAGCCCGAAGCCACCGGTGTTCAGCTCGTAAACGGCACCAAAATTCAAGGAAAGGAGATTATCCTCGCAGCTGGCGCCATCCGGACCGCCCAGCTGCTCATGCTCTCTGGAATCGGACCATCTAATGAATTAGCCAAGTTTCATATTCCAGTTATTCTGGATCAGCCCGAGGTTGGTAAGAATTTTGTGGACCATGGTCTTTTCGGAGCGCTGTGGAATCTGCGAGATCCCTCTGCTGGGTATGCGATCGGATCGGGTAACCCGCTCTTCAACGAGCCTCAGTATGGCTGGGGTACGCCGGCTGATTTTCTCGTCTCTACTGGTATCACGAATAAGGCTGGACTGGCTGCTGCCATCGAGAAGGATGAGGGCAAGAAGCCTGACCCCAAAAAGCACCCACTGCTGAAGAACGACCGAACTTTCAACGAACACGTATTCCAGTATGCTGGTACTCCGGATGGCTCAACTGTAACGTTGGCATTGATCAATCTTTTACCTACATCCAAAGGCAGTGTCACTCTCAAATCTGCCAGCATCAACGACGTGCCTAATATCGATCCCAACTACCACGCGACTGAGGTTGACAAGTTCGTCGCCCGTGAGGGTATTCGTCTACAAATCGCATTTGCCAACTCCAACGCTACAATCATTGGTCGAGAGATCATTGCTGGCGAGGTTGGCGCCCCAGGTTTTAACGAAACATTCACTACCGAGTCCACAGATACTTACATTGATTCTCGGATTGCTGCTGGTCTTGGGTAAGTACACATACTCTTTGTCATATCACAGACTCTAACGTTCAAGTAGATCTACATTCCATCCCATGGGAACTGCAGCTATGGGCAAAGTGGTTGATACCAACCTCCGAGTGAAGGGCATCAAGAAGCTCCGCGTTGTTGATACCTCTGTATTCCCCGTTGTGATCACTGCCCATCTTCAAGTTGCTACATATGCAACAGCATATCAGGCTGCTGATATTATATATAATAGTAGTAAATGTTCTACATAGATTACAGGGGCCTTACGATTACATAGTAAACAGTGGTAGCCCAATAAAACCAGGGAATAACGGAAACTTCAAAGGAGTGTATTGTGAACTACCGGACTAATGTTTGTGATAACCCCTGTCCAGCGTAAATGCGATACCAAGGCCAAAGTATATGACCTTTTGCTTCTGCTACCTCTCTTAACAAATAATTACACCACTGCATTTTCCTCCTTGCTCAATAGATGTACTCATTGCTGCCAAAGGGGGATAATCTCTTCTCTATTGCAAAGCTCTGCGATTAGCGTACTTCCAGAACATATATTTGAATACTCAACGCTTTCTGGCAGCCTAATTAAACCAGAAGCAACCAGTCGTCCAATTCTTTTGAATATAGGGAGACATGTAGGATGGAAATGAATTAGCTCCTAGGGGTTGCTCTGGTCGGTAAGTAATTGGGAACCCTGTGTCGAAGCGTCAATATTAGCGTAAATTTACCAATTTCTTCTGGCAATTTCTCTGGGAATTCTAGTGATAACCGCGTTTGTGAATGAGAGGCGGATACCAAGATTATAGTTTATACATAAGATTTTCACTTTACTTCTTAAAGCCCAACAGCATAAGGATATCCACACCGGATCAAACTTGGCATCAGAGAGGCGCAAACAGTAAGGTTCACTTTCTCTATTCGTCGGAGACCGCTATAGAGCTCATGGCGGCTCACAGATTTTAGTACCATCGACACTTGAGTAATAGCACATACCTATCGGGTACCATAATTTACAATACGCCATGGTAGAGCACTAAGATCACAATCTAAAAGGGAGACTTGATCTATTTTCATACCACTTCCAGTTCCAACACAGGAGTCAAAGTACTTGGCATTGAAATCTAGTACTTACTATAGTGAAAGATGCAGACGTCAAGTTGGCCAAGCTTACTTTTAGCTTATAACCTTAGACTAACTAATATGTTATTATATACAGATGGTTTCATGTACTATTGTACAGCAGGAGAAAAGTTTACATTTCCCTTGTTGTCATTTGCGCCACCAATGCATGTGCTTGTAAATGGGCTATCTCCACATACTGCTCTAGCCGCGCGCATACATCTTTCCCATCGGCCTTTTGTAATATTGATTCTCTGCCCCGGTGTCGTAGCGTTTAAGGATAATAATGCATCTCCTGATTGACCGGTTCTGCTCGAAGGATTTCCTTGACATTGTTCAATCTTGCCCGCAATCCCCCCGCAGATAGAGAGCAGAGCAACATTGATGTCGTGGCTATTGATCTTTCTGCACTTTTGTCAATATATTAAATTGAGACGATTGCGCAGGGATGAGTTTTCAGTATCAGGGGTAAAGCATACATTTGCGGAGCTGTGCATGTAGTTGATGTAACGGCTTTCGGATTCACCTTGATATTTGAAGGAAGGGCCCATGAAGTAGCAGATAAAAAAGCAATTAATGCTTGTGAGGAACGCATTGTGACTTTCAAATAATAACATAAACACAAAATTATAAAATCAATTTTGGCTGTAAATAATAGGACGGCAAAGAACAGAGGTTGCTTGAAGAGATAAAAACACAATTGAAGTAATAATACGTAGTAAGACTTATTTAATTTATGAGCTTTATTTTACACTGAGAGTCCATCTTGATGCTAGATTGTGGAAATCAGTAGTAAAACATGTATGAAACTGTTATTTGTTTTATTCTTTCCTACCTGAGACAAATACTGAGTGCGGAGTGTCCTTGTCAGTCCTTGTCTCCGCTGGACATTCAGTTGTCTAAAGGAGATAAAAATGGGACTGGATAATAGATAGCTAGGGGGGTTGATAAAAAGAAACAAAGGTTTCTCCTACTCTACCCGATATAATCGAGTTCTACGCAGTGCGTGGGGGAGACATACATTTTTTTTTTTTATTACAGCGGAGATGAAGGTAGCATGAATGTGTCATTCTTAACGGCGCTAGGGCCTGAGACGTAGTACAGTCCCACTTCAAAAGTTACGACTTGACTTAAAAATACACCCAAATTTAACAAAACTCACATTATTCAACTAGAAAAATATCTACATATTTATATTATAAAATAAAATCAAAACCTATCATTTATTATTTATTTATATAAACTATATATATATTTAATACTTTAACTATATATGTTTTTATTACAACCCAACATTTTATAGCTGCAACAGAAGGTACATACTTTAAAAGAAGGACGGGCTAAGCGACCTATTAAAATAAAGTCAACATAAATTAACCGTCGACTAAAAGTAACTTAGTATAAGTTAACAAAAGCCGACCGTTAACCTTAGTCAACTAGAATATATTTAACTAAATATATAACGTTTACTTCTTTACGCTTATTTAAAATAATTAAATAATCAGTTATAAATAATAACATTTAGATTAAATTTATTTAATACTCTTTATTAATTAGTAATATTATTATTTATATTACCTAAATATTTAGCCTAGCTTATTTACTAATATAAACCAGAATTTAGGTTTATCCCTTAGAAATCCTAACTTATATTAACTTATAGGTTTATAATTTATTATATATTTATAACTTTTATTTAGATAGTTATTTTAAACCTTTAGGTAATATTTAGTAAAGAATTAAATATTAATCTATAATATTTTAAATATTAAAATTAATTATAAAAGTAAAACTTAAAGTAAATACTTAGATAATAACGTTAAGTTTTAAAATTAACTTAATAAAAATAATAAAAATAATATAGTAAAATTAACTATTACCCAGTTTATAGCTACTATAAAGGAGCTTAAAGAAATTATTAAAAAATAATAAAAAATTATTAATAATTATAAAAATAAGAATTTTATTAAAGTAAAATAAAAAGGGGAAATTATAAGGCTAGAATACCTTAAAAAGTTTAAAAGGGACCTTAAAGACCTTAAGAAATTCCTTACAGCAGTTTACACTTACTTTAAATATTTTTTAAAAACCTTAGGTAAACCTAAAAAAAAAATAAAAATCTATTATATTAGATTTTAACTTAACGGAGCTGCTAAAGACTAATTTAAACTGCTTTAGAAAGACTATTGTAATAATAATAAGGTTAATTAAAATAAATAAACTAAAAAAGTCTTTAAATCCTATAAAAACTTTAAAAAATAACTTATTGTTTTTTTTAAAATAATTAATAAAAAAAAAAAAGCTAAAAATAAACTTACTATTATTAAATAAAAAAAAGTATTTTTAAAGTATACTATTACCTTTACGTAACTCCTAAGTAAAGTTAATTAAATGGAATAAAGAAAAATAAATATATATTACTAAAGCTTTAAACTAAAAGTTAAAAATAAACTATATTTAAAAAACTAATTTAAAATATTCGCTAAATATACCTAAATAATAATTAAAATTAATAATTAATAATATAAAAGGTATTAAAAATAAAAATAAAAAAAAAAAAAAAAATAAAAAAGCTTATATACTGTTAACTATAAGGTTAAATAATAATATATTATTAATAATAATAATAATAGATTTAAAAAAATAGACTTTAATATTATTAATATTTATAAGTTTATTAGAAAATATAACTATTATAAAAAAACAGATTATAAAAAAAAAGACTGCTAAAGTAAAAATAGTAAATTTAATACTTTAAAAAAAGCTACTAAAGAAATTAAGAAATTTAATAAAGTATAAATTAATATTATTAAAACTATACTTTATAATTTCTTTAGCTAAACTACTTACTATAATAATTAATATTTTATATATAAAAGTAAAAAAAAAAGATTAAAATAATTCTTAAAAATACTAAAAAAAAAATAACTTAAAAAAGTTATTATTATTACTATAACTTTTAAGGAAATAAATAAAATTAATAGTATTATTAATAATATACTTATTATTATTACTGCTTTAAAACTTATAAAAAAAAAAAAAAAATATAAATAATAAATTTTATTTAAAATATAAAAATAAAATAAAAAAATAAAATATATAGATTTTAATATTTTAGAGCTATATAAAAACTATAGATTTTAAGAACCCCAGAGATTAAATTACCTTTACAATTAAAATAACTTAAATAATAATAAAAACCTAATTAAGGAAAAACTTAAAAATAAACTTTAACGGCTGTTAAATTATAAAAGTATTATTTACCAATAGGTATTAAAGAATAATAAGTTAGTAGAATATATTAATGTAAACCTCTATTACCCTATTTTAACTAAAGACTAATTCTTTAAATAAGAAAAAGTATAATTAATATATAATATCCTATTTATAGAAAACTATAGTTATTTATTAATTTATTAATATAATAATTACTTATATAATAAATATTAAAAAATAAAAATTATTAATTAATACTTTTAAATTTAATATAGTAATTTATATAATAAAAATTATATTTATATTAACCTAAAATAATATTTAAATTAACTATATAATTAATATATTAAATATAAAGTTAAAGAATAGTATAAATAAAGAGGAAATAATAATCTATAAAAAATACTATCTTTTATAATATTATAATAATAAATACCTAAAGTATTAAAAAAAAAAAAAAGAATATAAAAACCTTTAATAACAGTTACGTAAATAAAGGTTTAACTTTAAAACCTATAATAAAAGATATATTTATAAAAAAGATATTATATATTTCTATAAATTCCACCTAAAAGAAATTACTACCTATAAATATTAATAATACTATAAGGTTACTAAAATAAACTAAATTAAATAATAGTAAGATAATAACCTTAATACTATTTATAAAAATATATTTATATATAATATTATAAAAAAAAATTATAAAAAAATCTATATTAATACAGTTAAAACTACTAATATAAAGAAACTAAAAATAAACGTATAACTATTTAATAATATTATTACTATATATATTAACAGCAGTTTAAATTATAATTTAATTTTAACTTAGGTAATTAAGAAACTATAAATCCCTATATAAAAAAAAGTATATATTTTATAAATAATAAATATTATAGAAATAGAAATAAAAGATAGGCTTATTAAATATAAGATTAATTATCTTCTATTAACTATTAATAAAAAAACTTATATAATTTAATTTAGCATTTTAAATATACTAAATTATAATATATTTCTAAGATATCTTTAGTTAATTAACAATAACCCTATAATCTAATAGAAAATTAATTAAATCTATTAAAATATTAAAAACGTCTCTAAGTATTAATTATATTAAAAAGAGCAAAAGGGTAAAGCTATACTGCCGGAAGAACTGGAATCTTTTACGCAGAATATAAAAACAGTAATAAAAAAAGTTAAATTTAAAGAAAATAAATTACCAGTACTACTATAATATAATAAATAAAAAAATAAAGCAGAATATATTTATATTAATAAAATTATAATATAATTTAAAGATAAGCTAATAGCACTAAATAATACATTAAGTAAAATATAAAAAAAAAAGAAATTAGAAAAGCTTAAAAATACCTTTACTTAAATACCTCGCTAGTATAGGAAATATAAAAAGCTATATAAAATAATGCTAAAAACTAAGTTATTATTATATTTACAATAGGACTATATTATTAAACTGGTAAATAGAAAATAACCTAAGACTTATAAAATCTATAACCTTAATAAAAAAAAGCTTAAAACGCTAAAGGAATAATTAAATGAATAATTAAAAAAAGGATATATTTAAGTATTTAACTTATTAATAAAATACTCTGTTATATTTATACTAAAGAAAAACG